TCCATAGCTTCCCAGCCCCCACCTCAAATTAGAGGCCAACTCGCGGTGTTGGGCCGCCCAGCAGGAGCGGGGCGGGGTCGGGTGCTGGAATAGGGTAGGTGGGGGGGTGCTTCACAGAGATCTCCAGAGCTTGAGACCGGCTTGTAGAACAAAGAGCTAACTTTTCAAAGCAGGTTTCCCCAATGGAGGGTGGGGTTGGCTGAGTTCAGGGAAAGGCAAGAAAAGGGGAGGTGTTTGGGGGGGAGGGTGGCCTTCTGGAAATTCACTGTCCTCTGAGGGCCTTTACGCGCCCCCTCCCCATGTTCATCTGGTTGCCATTATACTTTTGGAGGTGGGTGGAGAGTAGAACTGGATGTTTTCAGCAGTTTGGGGTCGGATCCGGTCCTCTTTTAAGCTCCCTTAGATTCTGAGGCAAAATCTGCCTCCTGTGCATGCCGCCCCAGTCTGGAGGCGGGGCCTCTGTGATTTTGCTCCCTTCCTCATTGTGCCGGTCTGAACTGGCAAGGGTGGGGGACATAGAAGGGATGGAAGAGGGGTGCAGAGCCTTCGGGCTGAGTTCATTGCCCACCTGGAGCCACATTTTGTTTGGGAAAGGACATTTCATTGGATATTTGTTGTCTCGCCCCTTCCTCTTGGGGTTGGCGCTTCCTCAGTGACCTTTGACGTCTGAGTCTGGGTGAGGAGGTGGGGTGCCAAGGTTCTGAAGTACTTTTGAACTTGCTCTTGGAGGAAGGGGCCATATGGGGCTGCTGCTGTTTAACTCTCTCCTGGGTTTGGCTGGACAGCAGGAGAGGAGGGCCATATTGTGGGTACAAGGAATGTGGGTCCTCTCCTTCCTAATGAGCACGGCAACCCCTGGAGGGCAGGACTGGAATTTGGAGGCACTAACTGAGGAATTATCTGTCCTTGCACACTGATGTTTTTGCTCTTCCCTGGTGGTAGGGGTTTTGACCTCTGTATCTTGAGTTTTCTGTGCTCCCCTTCTTCACAGTCATGAATTGGAAAGATGCTGTGGGCACTTTTCACCCATATAAGGCAGAAGCAATACATGATGGAGAGATTGCTAGTCCAGGAGTTGGGAGATGTCTTCTTTTCAGGTCTACTCCTACCAGCTTTATGAATGGCCTCAATATTCACCATCTGTCAGATGGGTATGATGATGTCATTTCCTTGGAGATGGAGTAGTGCACTAAAGTGCCTTTAAGGGGATGTGGTATAGACTGTGCCTGCCCTACCTTCCTGGGATACTCTGTCCAGCCCCACATCTGGCTCTCCTCGTAAAGAACTGTAGCGCTGTGTGTTAGAGGGGAGCAGGGCAGGGATCCTGCAAGGTGCCCTTCCCAGCTAGCTGTTATCTTGCCCCAGCTGAAGAAGACATTCAGGTGGGGGTTGTTTTCAGAAGTGAGAGTTGATAATTCCTCTTTTTAGAGTTCTCCCTGTAGGAGATGGCCCTGGGGAGACGCCCCACTCCCCCCAACCCTGCACTGAGCAGGAGGCCTGGAATACCCATGTATCAGACTTATTCCTCCTAATCTCTTCCGGGCTATAAGGACTGGCACATCCACCTGGGGAACTGGTGCCCCAAGGTCTGAGACCTGGGAGGGGAAACATTCAGTCCTCACAGGCAAGGTCGCTAACCAACTTCCTAAGGCTTCACAATAGGAGAGTCAAATTAGATCTCCCCAGTTCACTACAATTTTCCTATGGCATGTAGCCCACAGTGTGACCCAAAGCACAAGCTATGTCCTTGGTGTGTTAGCCTTTTCTCCTCCTTGAGCTTTATCTCCCAAAGGCTTAGGTGGCTAAAGGCCATGTCACCTCTGATGGCCACCCTTCCCCCAACCTGCAGTACCCAGTGTGCTCTGCATGCTGGATAAATATGTATTGCTGATGATGGTGTTTGAGGAAGGAGATCGAGATTTGCTTTCCCAGAGGACTTCTGGGATTAGTGTTGAAGAAGAAACAGGGTGACCTCATTTGTCATTCATTCGACAAATATTTATTGAGCACCTACTTTGTGCCAAGCATTCTGAAGGGCTGCTGCAGAGCCCTTTGGGAGGGGAGGGCTAGAGTTTTGACCCAGACCCTGTTGGGAAGCATTTGTATTTGGGGACCTGAATCTTGCCCTGTCCTTCTCCCCTGGCTTGCTTTCCTGGGCCTGAAAAAAGGTGGAGGCATTCATTCAGGAAGGTGAGAGGATATATGGGTGCCAGTTCCCCTGGAATCCACCATTAGGAGGGCTCCCCTCTGTCTGAACCATCCCCCACCCTGCCACCCCCATGGGGGCAGGAAGGTAGAAGGAAGCTGGGCTGGACACAGCTGGTATCCCATTTTCCCAGTTAAAGCTGAGAGTACCCAACAATCACCTTGTGGCCATCCATTTATAGTAGCTACTACTACTTGCAATGTGCCAGGTTCAGTCTTCACAGCAGCCTCAGAAAACAGATGTGGTTGCTCCTGTAAATGATGAACTCCACAAATGGAGACTCAGGTTATGTGGCTCGTTCTCCTCTTGGCCAGAGCTGGAATTCAAATCTAAAGTTCTTTGTGTTCAGCTCTTCTGCCTGTTGTGTTTGCAAAAACTACTTTTATTTACACTATCTCATTAGTGTCCATGGTTGTGCTGCCCCTTTTGACCCTGGCCTGAGGGATGCCTTAGGCCTGGGCTTTTGCCTGGAGTTGGGGTGCTAGGAATAATCATCTCCCCCTGGGAATTTTTGGAGGTGCAGCCAAGGTCTGTGCCTTTAAGCCAACGGCCCAGGTGGCCAACTGAACTGATCTGGTGATCCAGTCAGGGTGGGGCTGGTATTGCCCCTGAAGAAGGGAGAAACTGTAACCCTGGGCTACAGGAAGGGAGAGGAAGATCTCATACTTCAAACCTGAGTCATGGCAGCCTGGGTGCAGGGGGTAAGATGCCAGGCTGCAGGCACAGTGACCTGAAGCTGGCTGCTTCCGTGTCATCCAGAGCTGTGAGTAGTGCTTCCCCCACCTCCACAGTGATTCCAGAGAGATAGGGGCTGGCCCAAGCAGGTGATCTTGCTTCTGCCCCCATCAGCCTCTGTTTGCCTTTCTGTGGAGTGGGTGTTCTGGGTTGCAGCTTTGGAACTGCAGGCAGGGGAGACTTGAGGGTGATGGGCTGAGAAGCTTCTAACAGGCATCAAAAGTCTGATTTTTTTGTGAAAGGGAAACAGTGGGTTTCCAGGGCAGCGAGAAGGATTAGAGTTGCCTGCCCAGAGGTGTACTTTGCTCCCCTGAACCCTGAGTCCCAGGAATATTTCTCTGAAATCTTACCTGGGGCCTTTCAGAAAGGGTGACTCTTGCTCTGAGACAGGGCTTATGGGGCAGGGGAAGGAGGCAGAGAGGGTCATTGTGGGGTCGTATTGGCTTAATTCCCTGACTGTGTTCTTCACCAGATTTGACCAAATAGGGGTGGGGTTTCTTTCATCAAGGGGATGGTGTTCCCTTGGGGTACCAGGTCCAGGCTTGGCCCACAAGGGCTGTTGAGTGACTCGTCCTCCCTGTCTCCCACCTTCCTACTCCAAAGAGGACACAGTCGCAGGAGCTGCTGGATTTTCCTGAGTCTTGGAGCCCATGTCGTCTCATTACTCCTCCCAAGGCTCTGCAGGTCCCTGGTTTTTAGCTCCACTTCACAGATGCAGAGACCGAGATCAGTAGTTACCCTGAAGGCACTCAGTCCACTCTTGTTTTCATTATTCTCCTGAGCCCCCTGTAAGAGAATGGATGACCACCGCCCCAGCCTCTAGTGTGTCTAGCTGAGAGCAAGGGGTCTCTGGGGGTGAGGTGGAGAAGAACTACCGATGGAAATGGACACCATCCCCTTGTATGGGGTCTCCCCTTCAAATGGCAGCCAGGAAGGGTCTTGTTGGAACCCCTGGATTGGGTGTTGGCCCTGTACCCCCAGCCTGGTCAGTATACTCTGCCTCCTTTCCAAGGGGCTTTGTTCCAAGGTGGAATTTGGCCATCTGCTAGGGTAAGGATGCCCGTCTTCTTCCCTTTGTCTTCCTCAGATTAATCAGGAAGCAGCTTTGGAGGTCTCCAGTCCTAGGACAGTGTGTATTCCTGCAGATGCGTGTGTGTGTGTGTGTGTGTGTGTGAGTGTGTGAAAGTGGGTCATGATCTGGATTCCAGAGAATGTTTTTCCTGGCAGGGCCCTGTGGGGGTGCGGAGAGGTGGGGGCCCAGGCAGGGGCATATGCGGCTAAGCAGGCAGAAGCCAAGCAGACTGGGTGGTAACAGGGCTGAGGCACTCTGCCAGTGCCTCCCAGGCTTTGGGAGAGGGAGGGAGGCCGTCACTTTGGGGGGCTGATGTGGGCGGGGACTACCCTGTTCTAGTTTTCTGGTGGGTGGGTTGTATGTGTCGGGGTTTTGCACCAGTAGGAGTCTGGGCCAGGCTCTGGGATAGGCCCCCGTTGGGGCGGGGGCCAAGCTTAGACCAGCCATCCCTTTGCTTCCAGACTTCCAGCTGGCCTGCTTTCCAAAAGAAGGTTCTCCTGTCTCTTCATCACTATTCCACCATTGGATATTCCTTTGGGTCTCCTTGACAGGGAAAGCACCTTGTTACAAGGTGATCACCCTCCAAATTACCCATGGTCTCTGGTCGGAGTGGGCCAGGATTGGGGAGGTGGTATCCCATCCTCCCAGCTTCCTTTTTTCTGTCCCCTCTTCCAAAGTGTCCCAGAAGCACCCTTGGTTGGGAAACACGTTTTGAAAAATACTGTCTTGGAGGAATTCCTTGACAGATGGCCAACAGTCAGCCCTGTGCTGATCACCTTCAGAAGTCTCCATGGGTCCTTCCTTGGCTTCTGGCCTCTTTCATGGGGCAGAGACAAGCCAACCAGGTCACCCAGGCAGCTGGGATTCTGGGGTCCTAGAAGCTAGACTCCTGGTTGCAGGTCCTGGGCCTCACCCTGGGCTCCCAAGGACAGATCTTATTTGCCTGGATTTGCCAGAGTGTCAGCATTTCTTAAGATGGGGTCATTTCTGTTGCTTCTTATCCCTTTCTCTCACGGCCTTCAACTCTTCCCCTCCATTGGCCACCTGGATTGGTTCTGATTGCTCCATTCTGGGTCTCAGGGTTTTGCTGGAGTCATACATGTCACTTATCCTCCCCCTCGGTGTAGCTGTGAGCTCCTCCAGCACCCCCCTGCCCCGACACACACAAACCTCCAGTATGAGCTGCTGAGCCTTGGTTGAGGTTCATATCTGCCGTGCCCAGCATCTAACATTCGGGTACTTAGAGGTGCCAGGTGCTGTACTGCGGGCTTTGCAGATTTCTCACTTAATCGTCAACAGTCCTGGGAGGCACAGGTATCATTTCTGTTCTACAGACCTGGAAATGGCTTAGAGGTGTGGGCCTTGACCAAGGTCATACGGCTAGTCAGGGTGCAACTTTGATGTCTGTTATGGGGTTAGCCCCCTCCAAAGTTTTTAAGCTGTGCTCTTCAGTGCCTAGGGACACTAGCTGCTGGGTGCTCTCCTACTGCCTGAGGGGTGGGAGAAGGATGAGGGAAGGCAGAAAGTGGTGGCTAGAGCTGGAGTACCCTTCTCAATCCTCTGGTGAGGGGTCCCACGGGAAGTGAGAGGTGTCAGAGCTGGAGCACCACCCCAGCTCACGGAGGCCCTGGGAGTGCCTGGGTTCTGGGCCTGAGTGCTGGGGGGGCTGGGCCCTCATTCTCTTCTCTAGGCCTTGTCAAGGTTGAAGAGCTGCCCCTCACGTTCAGCAGTGGCTTCTTAGCAACACTGGTGCAGCTTTGCATAAGCAATGAGGCTTCTCCAACTGGGGACAGCGGTGGTGATCTGGGGAGGTGGAGCCGACATTTTGGGGACAGCTTGCCACTACTATTACTAGCCTCTTCCCCACTCACCCTTCACATCTGCTCATCTCTCTCCCTCTTGACAGCTCAAATGACTGGTGGGGATGGGGAGGGGAGTGTCATCAGCTGCCAGAGCCTGTGGCCTGAGATATCCCCAGCTCACCCAGGGTGATTCTGTGTTCCAGTCCTTGGGATGGAATGCTCCTTCCCAGGGCCTGAGCCCCACTTCCTGAAGTCTTGGTGTCTGATGGGTGTCTTCCTTCTGCCTCTGTCCCCAGTTCTGGCATAAAGCATGCTTCCATTGCGAGACCTGTAAGATGACACTCAACATGAAGAACTACAAGGGCTATGAGAAGAAACCCTACTGTAACGCGTGAGTACTGCCTCTGGCGGGGTCTGGGCGGGACCCCTGGCTCCCTCCCTCATTCTTCCTTCTGTTCTAATAACAACAAGGTGACTGTTCCAGTAACTACAAGGTGGCATTTTCCAGCACATCCGCACTCTCTTTGTTGAATGTCAATCACATTTAGTCCTCACCATAGCTGGATGAAGTAAGGGCCGTTATTCCCATTTTACAGAGAGGGAAACTGAGGCTTGGGGCAGGGAAGGGACTTTCCTAAGATTATGTGGCTAGTGAGAGGCTAGTTCACACTCAGTAAAGCAGGCATATTATTCTCATTGCACCCTGCTGCAAAGGGCGGATCTAGTGTGGTCTTTCAGGAAAAAGTGAGCTGCCCTGTTTGTGCCCCCTTGTGTTTTCTGCTTCTCCTTCTCTCACTTGCCTCCTCCCAAAGGGTCTAGGCACTAGGCTTTTGGGAGCTCCTGGCTGCAGCCCTTCCTAGTGTTCCTTTCTTGAGAAGGGGTGTGGGGGCAGCAGGAAGGAGTGGCCTGGCCCGGGGCAGAGCTCTTCCCTGCCTGCTGAGGGAGGCTGCACCGACCTTTGTGTCTTTTTCGGTGGAGTTGGCTTGGACTCTTCCTTCTGCACTGGGACCTGCAGCCTGGACTGCTGCAAGGAGGTAGATAGAGGTGGGGTCCCCCATCCTATGCCTACCAGAGAGTACAACATCTTCCATCTTCTGGATGACCTTGTACAAACTCAGGGCTGGTCCATGGCTCATGCAGTAGCTCCCAGCCACCGTGCTAGGTAGGGGCTTTAGAAGGTCAAGTCACTTCAAGTTGGTGACAAGATCAGTATTTAAAACAAGTCTGTATCTGACGTTTTTTTTCCCCTTTTTAATTCTCAGTCAGGAGGCTCTTTGCAGCTGAAGTTTACCCAGGAGGGTAACTTTCAAGCTTGTCTAACAGGGGTTGGGGGCTTAAACCCCTTTGAAAGGCTGTCTCTCCCTTACTATACACCCGTGCCCCTGCTAATACCACAGCCTCATCTCCTTATTCTTTTTTTTTTTCATTCATCAGGCATATATTGCCTGCTGGCTGCTACATGCTATCCTATGCCAGGTGCTGGGAAAACAGATTTCTGAAAAGATCTCATGCTCAAGAAGCGACATGTGTGTTGTCTTTTCTGGGAGAGACTGGGGCACTGGGAAGGTTGCCTGGGGTAGAAAGAGGGTCATAGCTCTGTCCCAGCTCTTCCAAGTCAGCTGCCCCTTCTATTAGCTTCCACTGGTCCTCTTCCCCCCACCAACCCCTCCCACCCCCCCAAGGGAAATGGGACATTCTTCAAATTCTTAAGGGCTCACACAAGCCCTGATTCTCTGCCACTTCCTCCCTCTGTTGGGGTGTGGGGTGAGGTTCACCAAAGCCTGGGCAGTTTTAACTCGTTGATTACTGGACCTCTTCAGGCTAGATTCTGGGCACCAAGGCTCTTGGGGGCAGCTTCTGAGCCTCTGCCCATCCAGGCAGAAGTCTGACTGAGCCCCAAGCCTAGTAGGTGGCAGGGACTGATGCTTTTCCTAAGACTCCAGTAGCCTAGAATTCAATGAGCATTGGGAGTTGGTGAAAGAAATCAGGCATGTCCTTGTTTTCTCTGTATTTTCTCAGCCTAGTGTCAAAGTCCCAGCTTACTTTTTTCACTCTCTTCTCGGGAGGCTGCAGCAAATGGGATGGGGCGCTCCTTACAGGGGTTGAGGGGCTCTAGGGGAGGCAGAAGATGAAGCACTCAATCCTGGATACTGCTTCCGGCCTGCAGAAGCAGAGGTTCCTTGTCTTGTGTCCTGGCCCCCAGCCAGAGAAGCAGGTTGACCCCTCTCTGTTCTCCCAGCCTTTACAGCCCTGCCGGTGCCACACCCAGTTGACCTTTGGTCCACCTGGGATGTTACCTGGGAAGGAGAAGATTTGGGGGCTTTGTGGCCCAGTTGTGTTTCAGTCTAGCTGTAGTAGCACTTTGCCCGAGGCGTTCGCACTCCCTCAGCCAGCTTCTGCTGAGCAGTTGGTCTGTGCCAGCTATCCAGACATGGAAATTCCAGGATAAACCAGATGCAGGCCCAGCCTGCACGGAGTGCCCTCTGGACCTGTCTGAGCCTCGGTTTCCCCATGGTTAAAACTTCCTCCCCTAGGACTCTGGACTTGAGACCAGAGGGTATTGGGCACTGTGCTGAGTGTTCACTCTCATTCCTTTCTGTTTTCTCACTGCTTCCAGCCCCATTTTCCAGTGACATTCAAGTTCCAAATCCTGAGGTTTCTAGGGTATAGCTTTGCCCTAAAACCCATCCTGGCCTTGCTTTGTGGACGAGATCTGGCTTCCTTCTCAGTAGCACCTCCTGCTCAGAAGCCAGAGAAGCAGGTGGTCTCTTCTGGCATTTTGCCTGGGAGTTGTGCCCACCCAGTGAGTGAGTGTGAGTTAGGTGCACAGAGAGGTCTCTGCTTTCTGCCTATCTCTGGCTAGTCCCTGAGCCAGGATCAGGGGTGGTCAAGAGAGCCAGCAGCGGGGTGGTCAAGAGAGAAGAAAGCTATCTGTCTTTCCTCAGTGGCCTTCTCAAGACTGAGATTTAGGTTCTGGAAAGTGACTGTAAGCAGTAAAAAGGCCTCTTCTATTTCTCTCCTTTTACCAGACTTGCTTTAGGGTGAGGCAGGCGGGAGAACACAGGCCAGAGCTCACATCCGTCTGGATGGTGGTGACCCCCATGGACGTGCACTTACACATGTGCCTGGTGTATCCAGACACACACTCTGCCAGACGTGGGGCTGGGATGAAATGACAGGGAGGCAGACTGAACAGGCAGTGTTTGTGTTCCCACTTCCCAGGCCATAGCCACTGGTGCATTGCCATGGCAAGGTAGAGGCGTGCCTGCCCATTTCTGCACAATAGCCAGTGGTGGAAGAACCACTATTAATTGAATTCTTTTTTGAAGCTTCCAGGTAGACAGGGAGAGCCTGCTCCATTGGTTAGAGGAGTATTTATGCCCTCAGTTATTTGTTTTGTAAACTACATTTTCTGAAAGCTGGGCAGATCTGTCCACATTACAAACCTGCTGCTTTGTCTCCATACAAATAGTCTAGATCTGGAGGTTGGGGGTGGGGAGAAATGTGCTATCTGCTCCTTCTTGGGGGCCATGCTTTAGTGGAGGTTGCAGACCCTGGGTGGAGTTGCAGGCCAGGGGAACCAGCTTTTGGAGTGTCAAATACGGAGTGGATATGGGCTGGGGAGGACAGCGGGGTGCTCAATTGTACCCTTCCCCTCTTCACTGGCTGCAGATATTCCATCCTGCAGTTTCCTTGAGCTGTGGAGTGAGGGGCTGCGGAGGATGGAGATATCCCTGGTTCTGGGGAACAAGGAGCTATGGTCCTACTCCTGCCAGGCCTCAGAGAGCGGGGGGGTGGGCCTGTGCTGGTGGAGCTGGGTGCTCAAAGTGTCTCTGGATTCTAGCACACTCTCAAATCCCAGCTGCTCTTAGGCTATGGGGCAGTGGTAGGCAAATCCAGGTCTGGGGCCTGTGGCTTTCCTGCCTCCCCAGAATTCTCTGCCTCTGACCGGGAGCAGGGGCTAACACTAGGAGTGAGAGTACAAGGGGTGTGTGTGGTGTGTTTGGGATGGGGAAGGCACACTCAAAGAGGCATTCATAGTGGCCAGTCGTGGCCTCCAGGCAGACCCCACACCTCCTCGTACTTAGAGGTGTCAGGGCCTCACGGAACCTCAGGGGTCACTTTGCTTCCTAATATCCCCATTTCGTAGATACAGAAACTGAGGCCCAGTGTTCTCATGCCTTGCCCAGCTTGGAAGAATAACTTATATATTACCTCCAGGGGCAGGAGCCGCCATTGATTTTATATTTTGTCGTCACTGAATTTTTTTGTCTCCAATCCCTGAGGGCTGGTAAGTTCTTCCTCATGGCTAGCCTTGATCTTTTGGGCTGCTCATTATTTTTCTTTGGTCAAACAATGCCTCCTTGTTGCTTCCTATCCCCACCACTTCAGCCCTTAGGCCTGGGGGACTGGTGAGAAACTGGGTTAGAAGGGAGCCCTCCCTGCTGCCCATGGGCAGTGTTCCCAGCAGGGGGATCAGCAGCTCCTTCCAGAGGCAGGATGTCAGGACTTTTTTTTTTCCTTTTGGTAAAACCAAAGGCTCCTTGTTGCTTTTGTTGATGTATTTCTGTTCCTCCTTTAACAAAAAGCTGTGGTTTTTGAAGGGGTCCTAGGCTGGAAGGGGTGAGGTTGCAGAAAGGGGCGCTGTGCTTTCAGGCTCTTCAATCTGTTCTTGTTCTGCCTCTGGAACACAGCTAATGGCAGGACTAGAAGTGGGGCTGCACCCTACAAACTGTCGCTGTCCCCAGTAAGCCCATAAGCAGGAGCCTAGCAACTTCTCAGCATCCTCCCTGTTCTCACAGTCCCTCTGAGCAGGAAGGTGACTCAGAGGTCCTCAGGGATAGCCCCTCTCCTGGGACAGAGGCCCCTTTTCCTGCATCTGCACAGGTCATTGTCTAGAGTCTCGAGACACCTACTTTAGAAAAGTTATAAGGAGTAGGTGGCTTCTGACTGGGGGGTCTGAGAGACCCCAGAGGGGCTAAGCTTGGAAACAGGTTGGATTTGAAACATTATAACTTTGTTCTCTACTCACCCTGCTAATCACTTCTTTCCCCAGAGGTCTGAGAGCTGGTGGGGGACTGAGGTCCACCTGAGAGAGAGATGTCAGGTTGCTTTTAGCTGACTGGGGAGCAGTGGTGGAGGGAATGCATTGGGTAAAGTCTCCGTCCTTGACACGGAACCTCAGTTTCTTTACCTATAAAATGGGTACATTGATAACATCTGCATTTTCTAGCCCAAAGCCTTGTGGCGGATTGCAAGAGGAATGTGCACAGGATGCAGTATGTCAAGAATTCACTTTGTGTGCCTGTAAATTCTCCCGGAGGCCTAGCCTACTGCTAACAGCTGCCTAATTGCTCTCATGGATAGATGCTGAAAGGGAAGATCCCTTCCCCTGTCCCCCAGACTTCCTGTCCTGTGGGCTCTGTCTTCTCCAGAGCAGCTGGTACAGCTATGGAGGGTTGGGAGGGGCATTGCAGAGGGCCCATTGCGTTGAATGATTAACAAGGGGCTGGGCACAGGCTGGCCCAGGAAGGGACAAAGAGCAGCTGTGCTCTGGACCCAGCGCCAGGCCAGGGTTGGGATGCATGGTTCCCCATCCTGGCCTCTTGTTCTCTCACCATGGGCCAGTCTGTTGGTGGAGCTGAGGTCTCAGTGGGGTCACTAGCTGGGGATGGGTGGCCCCTCTTCTGTCTCAGTGCCCACACTGGCATACACACATATCCATTAATCTTGATTGGGATGTGAGGGTAGTGGGTAGGCAGAACTTCAACCTGAGAACAGAGGGAGGGAAAAGGTAAAATTCCCAGCAATTGTTTCTGGAAGGAGGTCAGATCAGTTGGAGCCCTTTCCAGGGCAGTCATGCTGGTGGGGGAGGGGCACAGCACTGCTGTTGTGTCTTCCCCTCTGAAAACAAACGTGGGGCACCTTCTTCCTTACCTAAATTACCTATAAGGATCCTGCAGACACTGTCTCCTGGTTTTGCCCTCATGGGCCCTCCGTAGTTGAGGACACCCTTGCTGTCTGTCTCCTCCCCACCCCCACAATCTCTTTCTCTCTCCATCTCTCTCTGTCTGCCTGCTTTGCCTGCTCTGCCTGCTCTCCTGCCTGGAGCTGAGGATGAGGTTGCCATGGGAACCTGAAGCGCAGTGAGCAAGGGAAGGGAAAGGCAGGGTTGTCTCGCCAGGGCTGGGGGCTGCAGGGAGGAAACAGGGTTGACCCAGCAGGAGGAATATAGCCTGAGCAGCATGTCTGCCTGCCTTCCTTTGGCCTGAGTTTAGAGATTAGGGTGGGGGGGTAAGAGATTGGGGGCTAGTTACTCTGATTCAGGATTAAAATCCCCTTCCTCTGCCTGCCAGATTAAGCCAATCAACATGTAGGCTGGTTTCCCCTTTCCTTCTGATGGGATTAGTGCTCTGGCTGTGGGAGGCTGAGATCTAGGACTCATACGGCTCCAAGGAGAAGATGAAATACCCACCATTCCCACCCAGAGGCATTTGCTGCATGTTGGGGGGTCTCCTGGATCCCTTCTGTGGACCCCCCCACCCCGGGGTCTTCTCCATCCCCCTGTAATGAGCGCTGTCGCGTGTGGAACTGCTGACCTCAGTGTCTAGGAAACGCATATCTGCAGAGGGCCATCTATACATTTATCATGTGTGAGGAATGACGCAGTGTGTGTAGGAACTGCAGGGTAGGGGTGCATGTCAAGTACACATGCCTGGCTGTCCTTGGGCCACTGAAGCTGGCACTTCATTTTAAACCCATTCAGGCAAATGGGAAACTCTAGGTTTGCAGACTGGCTCCCATGCACATGTGTTTATTGAGCCTGCCAGCTACCTGGCCCCATCAAATGCTGATTGGCACCATGTCTCAGAATTGATCCTTCAAGGTCTGGACCAGAGCTGCCCTGGGGGTCTTTTCCTCCACCCCTCTGCTTTAGGACCTAAACTCCTTCCCCTGCCACATGAGTCTCTACTTACAGATGCCCTCCTCACCACACCCCCCAACCCATGGCACCTTCAGAATGCCTCTGATTTGGTGGGAGGGTCATTTCTGAAGCCCTTTCTCTTAGGACCTCAGGGCCAGCCAGTTCTGCTAGATCTTACTTAGATCCCTCCTGCTCTTCTCTTTCTAGCCTCCAAGAACACTCCCCGTTGAGCCTTGCTTTCCCTGGAACTGCTCAGGAATTTTGAGTGGCACTCCTCAGCTTTGGGTGGCTCTAGTTTCGTGGAGCTGGGGCAAGCCTGGGGACTGGATGTACAGCCTTAGGCCCACTTTCATCTGTGGGCCATGCCAACTGCAGACACCTGTGTTTACTTTTCAGCCTCCTCTCCCTCCTCCCTCTGGTGAAGCAGCTGTGGGCCTGGGCTGATCTGGGAGGTACCAGGCGAGGCAGTGGAGGGTAGGGGTTGGGGCACACCTAGGTCCAATCACTTAGGTCCAGATAGTGAAACTAGCCCAGAAGGAAAAAGGATTTGCCAAAGTCACCCAGCGAGTCAGTGGCAGGGCCAGAGTTTAACACTGTGCCCTTTCTAGTCATGCCCTGCCCCTGGGTTGAGTTCTCCAGACCCCAAGTTCTGCCTGTCACTGAGGGAAATCACTTATCAGTAGCTGTTTCTCAAGGTGGTGTGGGTGGCTGGAGAACATGCCAGGCTGAGTGAGAGCACAGAGGCAGGGGGCTGCTCATGTCCAGCTCTAGGGCGTGCAGCCAACTGGCATGGAACATGCCTAGAAGGGGGCAGTCCACCTCTTACCTGGGAACAGCTTGTGAATCAGGGATCTGCTAGTGGTCACAGTGTGGTGAGGTGTGGTCACCTGGGGCTGGAGATGGCCAGACCTTGGCTCCTGCTCAGAGAAGCCACTTGCCACTCCTTGAAATAGTCGGGGTCCATGTGGACCCCCAGTCATTTCACATACCATCACAGATACACAAACCACTTCATGTTGACCCAGTGGGATATAAGAAACCTGAGTTCTAGTCCTGGCCCAACTTCGACGCCTGATGCAACATTCATTTATTCAACAAATATTTATTGGACACCAGGTACTGTTCTAGGAGTTGGGGATAAATCAGTGGACAAAAGAGACCAAAAAAATTCTTACCTCATAGAGAAGCAGTGGGGAGAAAAGACAGTAAACCAATGTGATAAGTTAATTGTGAAGTTACCTAAGTACTTCATGCCAGCACATTATTTCCTCCTTTGGGAAATGAGGGGGTTGGACCAGATGGTCCTGGAGGTCCCTGCAGACTTGGCTCTGAGGGCTTCCCTGGCTCCTGCTGCTTCCAAGCCAGCCCTCTTTCTGGGGGACAGGCCCCTGGTCTGTCCGGTGTCTGGAGAGTAGAGAGTTTAGTTCAGGGTGCTGTGTTCCAGGGAGATTGTGTGGGTGCCAGTCTGGATGCCAGCACTTACTGGCTTTGTGCTTTGGCCACATTTAACTTTTCTGAGCCTCAGTCCTGTCATCTGTCAAAGGGGGACAATAGGGTGGTTGTGAGAATTTGATGAACTAAGGCATGTGTGCCCTTAGCACAGGGTGAACATCAACTGTTCTTATAATGTTATGTCACCTGAGAGTGACCTCTTTTATAGTATCAGGCTGATCTCTCGCCTGCACTCCAGTTAAATTGGACTTTGTGAGCCCTTCAAAATACCACTTGGGATGTGTGCATTTTTTCTTTCTTACCACCTCCTCCACGAAGCCTCCACAAGAGACATGGATATGCATATCTCTTTTCCCTTTATTTCTGTCTTCATATCCCTTCCTCTGCTTGGTTAGTCTCATTCCTGGTCTTAGCGTAAAGCTTTGTCCTGACCCCAACCTGGCTCAGCCCCCTCGACTTCTCTGTGTGGTGGATTCAAAGGCATGGATTATCCCCCAAACAGGGCGATCTGAAACCCTTACCGTGTCCCCCTGGCCTCCTTTGGCTTAAGACAGTTCTCTGTGGCTGGGCAGCCACTCAGGCCTGTGTTGCCAGTTTAGCCCAGGCTGAGTCTGAGAGATGCCCACCTCCCCTTGGCATGGGCAGCATAGTCCTGCTGGGACGGGGCTGTCCATGGGTAAGAAGTTGCCAGGAGAGAGTCAGGGGTCTGCAAGAAGCCCAGAAGTTCCTGCCCTTTCCCCAGAGTGACCCCTACTCTGTTTTTTTCTGTCTTGCAGACACTACCCCAAGCAGTCCTTTACCATGGTGGCCGACACCCCGGAAAACCTCCGCCTCAAGCAACAGAGCGAGCTCCAGAGTCAGGTGAGGGGGCGGGGCCAGTGCTGGGGCCTGATGGGAAGGGAGGGCTGTTGTAACCACTGCATTTGGCAAAGGCTCCTTCCCCCTGGGGTTACTCAGCAAGGCCAAGGTGCTGAAATCCTAGCACGTGGCTTGTCTCCCTGCCCCCACCCCCATACCCAGTTACTTCATATTTCCTGACTTTATGGAAGGAGTGGGGGAGAACATGCCTGCCTTTCCTACCTAAAATGTCTTGGAGAGGTGTGAGTGTCTCATTTTTTCTTAGATGGTAGAGGACAGCTGTTCCCCTCTCCTCTCCACTCAAACCCACCCTCAAAGGGGGTACTTACCTTTCCAGGCTTACGTGAGTCAGGTTACGTAGCCCACTCTCTGTAGCCATGTCCCCAAACCTTCTGCACCCCTCAGAGGGCAGGCTGTGAAGAGGGCCTTGGCCCGTATAGCTTGTCTGCTTTTGTCTCCTTGGGCTCGATTTTCCCGAACACCTGCTATGCCATGCAGTAGGGGAGGAGATGAGGTCCCTGCCCCAGAGAAAACTCAGTCTGGGGGATGCTGAGGAGTAAGAGAAAGGTTCAGAACAGCTGACCCTGATTGGGAGTCTGGGAGGGCTTCTGGGACAAACCTGGACTGGACTGTGGGGCGGGGCGGGGCTTTAGCAAAGACCTCTTAGGGAACTTACCAAGTAGGCAGGGTGCCCAGGGCCAGGAAGATGGTAGAGGGCCCACCTGGGCTGCAAAGGGGACCTCTCCTAATCCCTCTAGAGTGAGGCTTCTGCTGCCTGATCTTGACATGACCTCTTTGAGTCCCTGTTACCCGGTAGGTCACAGGAGGGAGAATCAGCCCTGGGCTTTGCGTGCATTCTCTCATTTAATCCTCTCAGTAACCCTGTGAGGGAGGTGCTGTTTTTCCCATTGTACACTTGAGGAAACCAAGGCTCAGAGACATTAAGAGAGTTGCTAAGATCACATAGGTGGTAGTAGAGGTAACAACAATATTAACAGCCTGTATTTCAAGTGCTTAATGCTCTGGGCATATTAACTCATTCAATCTTCACAATAGCCCTGTGCAGTTGGCGGGATTGTTCCCACTTTTTTGAAGAGGAAATAAACGCTGATGACTTTGAATGGTGGTTTGTTTTAACTCTTGAGACTTGTTCTTTCTGATTCTCTGCCCAACTTCCTAAGGAGAACTATCTCGGTCTTCATAATAAACCCAATAGTTCCTTAAGCTAGTGAAGACTTTTGTAGCTTAGCAAGTAACTTTGGGTTACTTCACCTCATTTATCCTTGACCTTACTCCGGGGGTCAGATGAGGAAACCAAGGCTGAGAGAGGCGCCGGCCTTTGCCCGTGAACATACAGGGTAAATGAAGTTTCAGTATCTGGGCTCTGGTTTCTTCATTCTGGAGTACGATGACCTTGACGATGTGCGGCCTGCGTGGGGCCCACAGTGATGGGGAGCAAGTGGAGGAAGCTGGTTTGTCCCTTGGCAGCAGCTCACATCTGCCAGCCTGGCCTCCGCTCTTCTGAGAGGAAAGCTGCAGTTGCTGGGGGAGCCTGTGAGGACACCACACCTCTGCCAGTTGAGGGCTGGGTGGTCCCATTGGCAGGGAGAAGGGTCGAGACAGTGCTAGGCCCTCGGCCTGGTCTGCACAGAGAAGATTCTGGCCAGACCATACCCAGGCCCTGACTACTGCTCTCCAGACTCCCCATCCTGTGGGGAGCCCACCAGGGCCAGAGGTGGATGGGGCATCATGGGGCGGGCAGGCCAGAGTATTGTGGGGTGACTTATACTCAACTCATAGCTTAAGAGGGGCAGTCAGAACCTCAAGTGGTGGGAGCTTCACCAGAGGGACCTGGAGGAAGAGGGGCGGGGGGCGAGGGACAGCGGGTCTTTAGAAAGGTGCAGATCCAGAGGTGTGGGAGTGTGTGTACACACTCAGAGGCAAGGGAGACACACACATACACACATACACACATGCCCATATTCTCGGGAGTAATTCAAACTGGGATAATTCCCTCAGCCTTTGTTGGTCCCACAAAAGCTTGGCTGCAGCTCTTTTTGCCTCTGGAACTCGATCCCTAAGGGGTACCCTTCCTCCCTCGGGGTCCCTTTTGGGTCATCATCTGAGTTCCCGGGCTCCTGACTCAGGCAGGCTGGGGAAATCATGAGAAAAGCAGTCAGTCTCCAGTAGGTCCTCACTGAGGGCCAGGCCCTGACCTCATTTAATCCTCACAACCAGGTGAGGAAGAAAGGGCTTTTATTATCCCTATTGTACAGATGGGGACACCAAGATTTAGAGAGGCCATGCCACTTGCCCAGATGCAGATTTCAAGCCCTTTGCACTTAGCAGTTCTGCAGTCCGCCAGCCCCATGTTGTCAGCCTGCAGGGTATATCAGTCACCAGGGGGGATGAATGAGGGAACTTGTTAGAAGGCAGATTCCTAGGCCCCACCCAAATCTCCTTGGGTGGGGCCCAGGAATCTGCATTTTGACTGTCCTGGTGATTCTGATGTGGGGTTTTGGTTCCATAGACATAACTTCGAGAGGCTTAGAGCTGGGCTGGGAGGCAGGGAGGAAGATGGAGCTGAAGGACTCAAGCTCACCCTCTTTTTGCTATGAGGGGTGTAAACCTTGGGAGTTAGGGCTTTGCATGAGAACATACTTCTCATCTCCTGTCGTTGGGCTTCTGGGGGCTGAGGGTTAGGGCAGGCAGAGGGTAGAGACAGGACTTGCCCTCTTTGCAGGCCTAGTTCTGTCTCGCCTCCACTTCCCCAGCTGTGTGGTCTGAGCCTGGCCGCTTTCCTCTCATGGCTTTTTTTACCCCGATAAAATGGGGACAGCAAACCCCAGTTGCCTAGAGGTCGGGGGCTGGGCCTGCTGCTCTGAGGCTTGGAAGGGCTGAGCTGGCCTGGCCTGGGGGTGGTGACAGGTTCTGGTTCCTGTGGCTGCTGTGGGGGCAGGGCTGACTCTAGCTGCCTGTGGCTGGCTGGAAGGGAAGTGGGAGCCTCCTCTGTCTACCATGCCCCACCCCACCAGGGTGTCAGCTAGTCTCTTTCCAGGGCCCCATCCTGGGCCTGTATTGGTGTATCAGCCCTTCTCAGTCTCCGGGAAGCTGCCTGTGCTATTTTGATTTTGTTTCCCGTCTCCAGACTGTGCCCCAAGTAGTACTTTGGGTGTCTGGGACACCTGGAGCCTCCCCTGTGGGGGAGGTAACCACAGAGCTGACCAGAAATGACCTTCTGGGTGGTCCTCCCAGGCCTGGCTGAGGAAGGGAACTGGCAGCTGGGCCCCAGCACTCCCTCCTACACAGAAGGTCTCCCACCCCCCACCCCAGATTGAGTAGAGGCAACATCTTTGGAGGGCGGGGGGTGCTGAGCTGGGAATGTCTGTGTGGCCCCCTGAGCCCAGGCTGAAGTGTGAAGAGACTGTCTCTTTCATTTTTTCCCTTATTGTCACAGTGCTGTGTAATCCCAGCATGGCATGGGACTTGCCACAGGGGACGGGAGAGCCCCATGCCTGCCCTGGGACAGGGCTCCGACTCTCTTATCTTGGATCCTGTGATTTACAGACAGCCTACCTGTGTGTCACTCTTACCTAAGCTGGCTAGCCAAAGGTCGAATCCTAGATCTGCCACTATTAGCTGTATGACCTTGGGCAAGTTATTTAACCTTTCTGAGCCCGAGTGCCTTCATCTGTAAAATGGGAATTACCTCTCTCCAAAGATTGTTGTGAAGATGTTAGTATATATCAAAGATTTAGAACGGTTTCTGGCATAGAGTTAGCACTCAATAAATGTTTGCTATCGCTATTCTGGAGAAGAAATAGAACTTGGGCATGATGAAGCTCAGGCATAGACACAGTGACCTGTTAATAACTTCCAGCATTGACCTTTTTCATTAGTTCTCTGAGCCTCATCTGCATGTGTCTAATTTCAAATTTGCTTTCTTTCTTGTTAGAAGTAAGTGGGTTACATAGTATGTGGGCCCAGTACATAATAGGTGCATAAAGTGAAAATTGTTGGTATTGTATTTTTTTCAATATATTTTTTTAAGTCATGAGCTTTCCTTTTATGTTGGATCAACAAGGCAGTTATTTTCCAAATCGTACTGCCTGTTTGTTTGGAGATTTGTGTCTACATTCAATTCATTTATCATTTACTCAACAAACATTCATTTGTATCTACTGTTTGTTGGGATAAGATAGATTCTGGGAGAATATTTAGTAAATCTGCATGTAACAAGTAGAATTCCATGGGCTGTGGTTGTTTGGGCTTGAGGAGCCTCAGGCATCTGTCCTGGCCCTGTCTGGGAAGTTCCCAGAATGGGAGGCCCAGGCTCCTGGGCATAGAGTCATCCACCATAGCACTGAGTTGCACTCTGACCCCTCCTAACAACTGGGTTGAGTGACCTTGGGCAGGTCTTTTCCTTCCTCAGAGATACTCCCCATACACAACCTGGCAAGCCATCCCAGATGAGGGTAAACACTCCTGCTTGGGTGATGAACCCTGACGGAAGGATTCTAGGCAGGGCCCTCCCTATAATCCTGGCTCTCTACTTTTTACCTGTCACCTACTCCAGCACCAAACAGTTTCTCAGAGAATCTTCCCTACCTCGATTCTCCATAGTCAGGCCTGCAGGTGCTTAAATATGGTCACAAACTCCAAAGCTGGGAGGGCTTTTAGAGATCAGCTAGCCAGCCCCTCTCAGGGGACCCAGAGAGGGGGGCTGGCTTGCCTAGGGACACACAGCAAAATGGTGCTGAGCCCTGGACTGTTTCTTTTCTTGGTCCCCACTCCACCCCAGCCCTACCCTCTCTGGGCTCCCTGTGCCAGGAGTGAAATGAATTATCCTTCTCTAGTAGGGAGGGAGAGGTAGTTCCTGAGCCTGGGAACCCGCTGATGTCATCGCATTGTCGCCATGGCAATTATTCCCCTGGATTAGGGGCCTGACCCTTGCCAGGCCAGGAAGTAGAGGAAGGAGTAGGGGACTGGCATTTGTTCAGCACTTTAGTGTTGACAAAGCACTTTCACAACCACCATTATCAGTGAGTCCTGCCGTGTGCTCTATGCTGTGATGACTGCTTTAGAGCCAGTGTCTGTAATCTGTGCCATTGATTGGAATGGTTTGTTTTATGATCCCCATTGTACAGATTTGTAAACTGAGGCTCAAGAGGTTAAGTCATTTGCCCAAGATCATTTAGCATTCGGGAGACTGAGCCTGTGTTAATACCAGCTCCCTCTGGCTCTTTGCCTATTCTTGTTGATGGGAAGCCCCCTCCCCGTGATTCCCATGACAGTACTTTTATAGGTAAGGAAATTGAGGTTAGAGGCCTTGGATTTGGAGCTTCTGTATCTGGAGCTACATTTTTCTGACTCTTAAGTGCCTTATCTGCCCTGATGCCCCTTTCCCAGAGGGCAACCCCCGCCTCCTCCCCTCCCCGCCAGCACTAAGAGTCACCATGCTGGCCTAAGTCTTCCCGGATGGGCTGATGCTGGGCAGCTCTGGGCCCTTGGGGTGTGTTAGTACCTGTATTCACTGTTAATTTCTGGTCTGATGGGAACTAGCATGTCCAGGCCTTTGTTTTCAGTCTGGATCAAAACAAAGGAGGTTCCGGAACCTTTTAGGAAGAAGCCCATGGATGGATGAGCCCCCCATAGGGCTCTAGGGGATGAACAAAGACCCCTGACCCCTGGGCAGTGTACAGAGGAACTGACAGGTGTGGCCATGGCTATATCCATGTTGTGTGTCATCGGTTGGGTCGTAGTGCAGCTCGGCACTGCAGTTTGATCATTCCATGCCTGGGAGCTGCCTGAACTTGTCATCCTGGAAACTCCCAAGGTCCTGGGCCTTGTGTCCTGGGCTGAACTGCTTCTAGGACAGTGCAGCCCCCATGGAGGAAATCCAGGCAGCTGGTGGGGTTTGGAACAGCTGGCTGCTGAGGTGGACAGCGAAGTCTCTGGAAGCCAAGGAACAGTTTTCTGTGTCATGGACATTTCCAGCTTGCATTCTGTTCTTTAAACCTTCCAGAGAAGGACAAGATAATCCTCATATTTCAATTCCTTGTGTTTAGGAACTCCTTTCTGCTATCTGACTTGAGTCTCTCTGCTATTCAAGTTTCCATGGAATTCTCAGAATAGGAGGGCAGGTGGGATTCTTCCCTGGAGCTTAGAACCCTGTTCCAAAGTGCTGTCTGTCCCCTACCAGTTTCATCCCCTCCCATGGCATCGACCTCAGAAGCTGGCCTGGCAGGCTCCAGGAAGCTGCCAGGGCCTGTCAAAGACTCATTGATTGAGTCTCTTGAGTGGCTGTCCCTCCGCCCTCCTTTCTGGGCACCATCTTTGTCCCTTGGCACAGCCCTCACACAGCTGGTCACTTAAAAACTCCCATGAGCTCTTGGCAGGTAGGGCCACATCCTGACTAGGGTGAAGGCTGGGGCAGACTTCAGAGCCTTGGACAGAACCTTCTTCCTACAGCTTTCAGGCAAGATGGACCAGCAGTGAAGGATAAGGAGTCAGGCAGATGAGGCCGGGCAGATGAGGCTTTGTAGCTTGTCTTGGTGACTCCTTTGTAGCTTGTCTTGGTGACTCTGGACATTTGCTGCTAAGCTGTGTGACCTTGGGCATGGGACTATGCCTCTCTGTGGCTCAGTTTCTTTATCTGTAAGATGGAGCTAATAATAGTATATATGGTAAGATTTAAATGAGATAGCTCCTGTAAAGCACTTGGCACTCTGAATGCACTGAATACATATTAATAGATTATCATTAGTCTAATACTTTTTGGTTAAGGCTTCTGCTTTGAGTTGGGTCATGGGGGTAGATGCCACTACAAGAGGATTCTTGGCCAGGATCTCTCTCCTGGCTGGTTGCTGCCTCAGAGGCGGACACAGGCTGGGGTCCTCTCTCTTCTCCCCATGGCTTGACCCTAGTCTTTCTCCTGCTTTGGTCCTCCAGGTGCGCTACAAGGAGGAGTTTGAGAAGAACAAGGGCAAAGGCTTCAGCGTCGTGGCAGACACCCCTGAACTCCAGAGAATCAAGAAGACCCAGGACCAGATCAGTAATGTAAGCTTCCCTGCCCCCCCGTGGTCCTCACACCCACCTGCTGCGTTCCTTCGCATTCTCTCCCTGCCCCTCCGATAGACATGAATGAGGCCCCAGGGCCTGGCTGACGCCTGCTCGAACAGAGAGAAGGGAAGGGTTTGGGGTTCCCAGATACCGTTTCTTTGTGCGCCCCAGACTCCTTTGGCCACCTTTTGCCCACATAGAATTTCTGCCTTTAAAGAACTGTACTTTTGGTGGTGGCTGTAGGGTGTTCAGGGAGGGCCTACGTGCTCAGTCACCCCCACTCTCTTTGAAATTTCGTGGGTTTTTTTTTCTTGGCTATGGTGGGTGTTAGGGTCCAGACAAGCTGTTTTGTCTGAGCGCAAAGGTCAAAACTGGGTGGCAGGGGTGGGGAGGGGCAAGCCTCCTCCTTGTCTGCCTTTGGGTGCTGACATTGCAGTCATTTCCGCCCTCCCTCAGCTTCCTCCCCCACCTTGGCTTGTTCTTCCTTCCTGTGTAAAAACCCCAGCCGGCTTTGCCTGCTGGCTCTGCAAGCCCTGGCCTAGGCCCTCCCAGGGCTAGGAGGGTCTGCAGTGTCTGGCTGTCGCAGGGCTGGATGTAGAGAGTGGGTGGTGGATTAGCAGGCCCCACGGGACCTGTGGCCAGGGGACAGGCCTCAGTTTCCTGCTTGGCCGAGCTGTAGACCAGCAGCCTGTGTGTGGCTCTGGGCTTGTGGGGAGGCTGCCGAGAGGGCTTTGGGCATGTGGGGGTGGGGTGCTGCTGTGAGCCACAGCACAGAATGTAGGCTGTAGACCCATGCATGGAGTCTTGGGGCACAGAGCTGCAGAGAAGTCCAGCCATCTGGGCCAGGATGTCCTACAGATGGAGCACAAGGCAAGCAGTTGTCTTCATGTCTGGAATGAGACGGGGTCAGCGAGTTGACCACTGTTGCTCTGGGCTGAGGGACTGGGGATAGAGGCTGTGGAGGGCCTGGGTTTCAGGTGGCCCAACTGGCATTTACCCCTGGGCTCCCCATCCCTCTACCTGGCCTGCTTGGCAGATGCTCCTAGAGGTTAGTCGGGCTGTGCTTAGAGTGGGCTCCAACAGTGGCTCAAGTGGCTTTCAGAACCCAGGCCCAAGCTGGGAGAACCAGCCATTCCCAAGACGGTAGCTTTCAGACTTTGACTGCAACCTACAAATGAAATACATTTCACACCATGACCCACCAGACAGACCTGCTTATTTATTTAGAGAGAAAACAGAATCGAAAATCTCATGAAAGAGGCTTTACTACTGGAGGACACTCAGATATTTCTCCTCTATTTTATTTTGTAGAGATGCTGGTTGCAGACTTAACTGAATGGGTTTCACAACTAGGTTGTTGACCTGCAGTTTGAAATTTGTGGTTTCATACAATGAGGGCTTCCCTTGGGCTGGGAGGGTGTGCCTCCCAGGACTCTAATCCCACCCCCAACCCCCAAAAAGCCTGTCTTAGTTGCTTTTTTACAAGCCGGGGCGTGGCCAAAGGTAAAGAAGGAGAAAGAAGGTGGGTGTCTTAGAGCTCACCATGAAGAAAGGGGAAGGAAGGGGGACGCCTTGGGTAATGGGGAAAAGCCGGAATGGCTCACAAAGCTGGAATTTGACTCTTCAACCTCTGTGGCTTTTCATAGTGAAGACTCTTGTCTTTTATCATGGACACTTGCTCCCCATCTATAATTCCAACCCCTCAACACATTTACTTATTGCTTCCAGCCTGTGGGTTTGGGGTGGGGAGAGACGTGTGTCCCTTTCCGAAAGGCTTCGAGAATATTCCACACCCGGCCTGTGGCACCCATTCTTCTTCCCTCCCCCACCCACCAGTTACTGGAGGTGTTACCGTCTGAGGAGTCCTGGTAACAGAGCTCACTGTGGCCAAGACATCCACACCTAAGGAGATAACCATCTTATCCTTAACCACAGAGCTGTAATTAGCTGATTGTCCTCTGCTCTGAGGTGGGGGAGGTGACTTGAACCTGACCTGGTTCTGCTTTTGCAGCTTTAGCTGGAACCTGTGAGTTGTGACCACAGAGCTGGAAGACTCTTGGTTTTAGTGAATGCAATTAGAGTCTGTCAGATGTGGGCCTCCCAACAACTGTATTAGAATCACTGGGGAAGGTTTATTGAGAATGCAGGCTTGTAGGCCTCCTCCCTGGGCTGTCTAAATCAGCATCTCTGAGAGTATGGCCCAGGAACCAGCATTTTAAACACATTTTCCAGGTTACTGTGATGCTCACTGAAGTCTGAGAACCATCACCTAAGAGTCTGAAAAAACTTTACCAAGTCCTAAGTCAGAGGGTGCCAGGCCTGGCCACACCCCACAATTCCAGGGGAACTTAAAATTATGCTTAGAGCTATTGTTAACCTGTCCCACCTCCAGAAGAGTTTTGGGAAAGATGGTATTTAGAGCCACACGTTTTGTTTTGCATCCAAAATAGTGTTCCTGTATATAGCTTGTCCCTCAGTTGCCAGGTTATCACCCAATGACTCCTAGCTATTTTCAGAGATCAGACCGTCTTGCAGAGCTGAAGATTAACCTCCCTGGAGGAATACGCTGCTGACTAGAGGGTTTACCAGCGAGAACATTTTAAAAACAAGGGTCTAGTCTCCCTAAGTGGTGTTTAAACACTTCGGATGTGTGCATTCTGTCATCTATCCTGCTGAGAGGCAGGATGGTGAGGTGGGAACAGCCAGTGAGAGCAGAATCTCAGCTTCTATCATTCAAAGGCTGGGCTCACCTTGCTGAGCCTCGGTTTTTCCTCATCATAAAAATGTAGACCATAGGCCCTACCTTAAAAGGTGGTTGCGAGGAAAATGTCAAGAGCTTGGCATTTGCTAAACTCTGTTCATTATTATCATTTTAAAGGCACACCTGTTTGCTTTCTACATTGTGGTTAAAGGGACATGAAGTAAAGTTTGGATGAAAAGTTGGGCCATTGTCTAGTACAGAGACTGTGTAGGAAATTTTGAGGCAAGATACTAGTAAGTTATACATCTCTGGTGAATGATTGTGTCTTCATTTAAGGAATACAAAGGGTTGCGAGGCCAAGGCCACATGCAATGGGATAGTTTATCCTTTCAGAATCCCGGCCTTTGGTCATGAGCGCTGATGGCTGTAATGGATGGGAAACTTAACTGAGGCCCCTTTGTGGGAGCCACTGCCTTCAAGTGGAGAAACTTTGCTTTTACTTACCTGCATATTTACTTATATATTGATTTCCTGTATACAATTTTGTGTCTTTTAACTTTTTCTTTTTCTGTGAAATATAACACCCAGTAACAGTAAACTCCTCTGTGTACTCACCATGCAAGTCAAGAAGCATGACTACACCCCTATCAAAACAGAGTTTTCAAGGTGTTAAAAACTCATGTAGTGAGCTTAACTCAGTTATGAGGAACCAGCTAGAGGATGGAGGGTATGACAGACAGAAGTGATGCCTAGTCAGTGAAAGAAAGTGCTGGATATAATTATATATAGAACTGGTTAATGTCCTACAGCAGCGGCCCCCAACCTTTTTGGCACCAGGGACCGGTGCTTCTATGAGAATCTAACGCCTAATAATCTGAGGTGGAGCTGAGGCAGTGATGCTAGCCCTGGGGAGCAGCTGCAAATTGATAAGGCTTTGCTCGCTTGCCTGCCGCTCACCTCCTGCTGTGCAGCCCAGTTCCCAACAGGCTGCAGACCGGTACTGGTACTGATCTGTGGCCTGGGGTTTGGGGACCCCTGTCCTACAGGACTATAAAACCATAAATTTTGGAGACATTCTTGCTATAAGCAGAAATCCTTTGCATTTCTCTCAGTCAAAAATAATTAGTTTATATTCCATAGGTTAGCTTCAGTTTTTAAGAGTCTGAGCCTTAAAGAACCTTAAAGAGTCTGAATCAGTAAATAGTGAAGTCAAACAAAATTCCAGCCCCAGAGTCAAATGTCTTTGAAGGCAGGTTTGTTGGACAACTCTGCAGTTTAATTTTTGAAAGTGTGCACTATTCTTTATAATTTTAATATGTAACTATGCATTTCTGAACACCTTTTTTTAAAAAACTGATTTTGTACATATAGCGTGTATTCTTTTATTTCTCTCTGCCTTTGAGCAACATTGGGTTTAAAGATTCCTCTACGTGTTTGCGTGTAGCTGTAGTTCATTTTTTGTTGCTGTATAGTATTCCATTTTGTGCTTATACTGCATTTTACTGATTCTGGTGTTGATGGACATTTGGATTATTTCCACACGTATAGACATCCTCATGCATATTTCTTAGCATTAGTATAGAGTGGAACTGCTGGGTCTTACAGTGTATATTCCTTCAAGATAAGGAATCCTTATCAGATAACGCTGAGCAATTTTCCGAGTAGCTACGGATTTACCCTCTCGCCAGCAGTGATGAGAGTTCCCATTGCTCTATGTCCTTAGACTTGTTTGTCTCAACCATTTCATTGGTATGTAGTGGTATCTCATTTTTTTCTGAGACTGAACACAGATTTCCATTTGTTTTAAAAACAAAATGTTGTTAGTCTCTAACAGGGAACAGTATTGAGTGGTGGTTGAGAAGTGAGGATATGATGTTAGAACTGGAATTCTGACTTACCTACCTCATAACCATCTCTTGAGCCTTGGTTTCCCCATCTGTAAAAAAGGGATTATGATAAATTTTTCATGCGCTGGCTGAGAAAAGGAAATGAATAAAGCATATAAGGGCACAAAATAGGCCCTCAGCAAATGGGAGATGTTATAAAAATAGACCCTGGCTAGTGAGTTGATTATTCCATTCAAAGCCTGATGTTCCCTCCTTAGCCATGATGTAGAATCATGTGAGAGCAATGTGTGGAGTCAGACCTTTATTTTTCGCCACAATCAGGAGAACGGGTTTCAGAAAAAAGAGAACATCAACCAGCAGTGTATTTTCTTTAGCTTTGGAATGGACCCTCAACTAGTCATCCTTTAGGCCTGGCTAACAGGGGCCCGGATGAATAGGGAGGGTCCTTAGGCCTGGCCTCTCAACCCAAGTACACCTAGATGTCATGCGCACAGTGTGAGCATGGCGTCTTTCCACAGGCGCCCAGGACAGTTAAGCTGGGGATCCGCTGACATTTCTGGGCTTATGGTAACCCCTATTCAGGGCTTTTAGGAGATCAGAACTTTGCTGAGCTTGAAGCAGGAATCATCCAGGCCCTTGGAGTCTGGAAAATGTTTCTTCTCCCTTTGGATGTGCTCACACCCTTTAATGTGCCTATTTGCTTCTCATACTATTAGGTCGGTCAGCAAAGTAATAGCACAGTTTCCTTATTTGCTGGGGAGGGGAAGGGGAGGAAGTTGAGAGTGTCGAAATTTCATCCAGGTGGGCCCAGGCAGAAAGGAGTTGCAGCCTTACTCTGTTCAGTCCGTTACCCGCTCTGTGCTGCCTCTCCTGAGTTCACATGCCTGGCATCTTCTTTTCTCAAAATTAGGGTGACCTTATGATTATCATCTCTTCTGAGAGGGAAAGGGGTGCTATTCAGATTTATTCCAGAAGACATGAACCAGAATTAGGGGCAGACTTGGGCATGTGGTCGCCCTGCTCCATGCCTGCCCTTAGGAAGGTCCTGTCTAGCTGTGAATTTGTCCTTGTGTCACCAGCCTCATCCCCTCTGCCTCGGGAAGCCATTTAACTTCTGAGCCTCATTTTCTTCTTCTGTAAAGTGGGAATTAAGGTGTAGGTGTACCTGTCCAACTTGTTCTTTAGGGTGATTGTCATCAGGGCCAAGGGAGACAATGTGCAAAGAGCCTTTATGAACCTAATGTGAAGAGCTGAGCAAATGTGAAGGTTCTTAATAACAGGTGGTACCAACATTGGTGGAGCGAGGGTTCTTTTGTCTTCAGGTTGCCACTACACCATCCACCTGGGTCATTTTATAAATATTTGTCCACGTGTAGTGGCTTTTTAAGGAGCAAGATCAGTTCCACCAGCCATTGTGGAAACATACATATTATATACTTGCTTTCAGCTCTCAAGTTTGGTTAGGTTCCTAGATCTGGTCAGAAGCCTCAGAACCACCTGGGAGCAGATGGTATCACAGTCTCATTTACAGATGAGGAAACTGAGGAGGCCCAGAGGGGAAGGGACTCTCCCAAGGTCACATGAGTAAGTGAAGGGCTCATGATCTCCCAAGGGTAAATCATGGGAGGGACATTGTAGCCCGTGAAGAAAGACTGAGTCTGGCACCAGGCCTTGGCTCAGAGAAGGAGCAGGAACCAGACATAGCCTCTTCCTAGAGTGCTGTTACCCCCTCAGTAATGCAGATAGTCACACCCACAGGAGGGGGCTATGCCCAGGTTAGCTGGGCCCCCAGCATCAGGGATACCTGTCCTCCCAGCCCATCTCCTGGCACCCTCAGGGCCTGCACAGACCTCTGCCTGCCTCCATATATGCATTCTCCCTCCCCTGCTCAGGCCTCTTTTCATTAACAGAAAGTAGACACGAGAAGCCGAACTTTCCCACCCCCAGGACAAAAGTCAGAAGGGCATTTGCCTTGTGAGGTTAGAGGTCTCAGGAGGAGTGTCCCCTCTCTTTGTCCCCCCAGCTGCCCCTGGACGGGGGCCACTCAAGGAGTGGGAATGGAGGAGACTTACCTTTGCCCTTACCTTAGGAATCTGAGCACAGGGCACTGGCTCTGTGTCTGAGAACTTCACTCCTGAGTTCCCTTCATAGTGGGAGTTGGGAGATCTGATGGGTTTTTAGTTTGGCCAGACTGGCTAGAATAGGCTCAGCCTATTTTGCAGGGAGAGGAAGGGGCTGGTCCTGACCTAAACTCCTAAGTGGGCCATGCTCTGTCTCCAGACTGGACCTGTCCTGGGCTTTGCTGCTGCCGATCCTGTGCTCTCATTCCAGGCTGCAGTGAGTAACTGTCATTTAGCCAGCAGAATGATGCAGGTGTTCCCAGTTTGGCCATACCTGTAGACCTGTAGCCCAGCTACTAATGTGTAAGCCCTTCCTGGCCAAGTGTTAACTCTTACCCTCCCTGCAAAGTGGATGCCAAGGAGTGGATAACGAAGGCAGCAGAGAAAGTGGGAGTAGGTGGCCAAAGGGGGCTGCCCTGGGCTCAATAGCTCCAGACAGGCCTCGGCCAGGGGTTCTAGGGCACAGGATCGCTGGTTCTTTCTGCTTCAGAACACAGGGCAAGCTTTACCCCACTTCTTGCTCTGTCCCTCCTCCCCCAGCCCATTTTCTCCTGGGAGAATCACAGGGCAGGATCCTGGTGAACAGTGAGAGCCAGCTTTCAGTCAAGTGGTCCAAGGCCTGGAGAGAATTCAGGGCCTGGGCTTGCCTGGGACAGGACCAGTTTTGCTTAGTGTCCTGCTTTCTGCGTTTTCTTTGTGGGTGAGCGGTAGCTGTTCTGTCATTTTCTGTCTCACTTCCTCCCCAATCCCCAGGCCAGCCCAGCACTCCTGGAATACTCAAACCATTCCTTGGCTGCTCTCTTCCCCATCAGTTTCCTCTCTGAAAAGTGAATAGACCCCACCAGGGGTCTTCAAGGTGGGGTATGGGCAACATGCTGCTGAGAATATAGGGAGAAAACCTTAGAACCCCTGGCTCTCGCTCTTTTTCATCTGCTACTTTTTTATTCATATTTTTTGTGTAAGGTTTAAAATATGCACTCCATATTTATAAAGCGATAATTGTATGCAATTTATTAAATAGACCTAACTTGGGAGGATTTTGCTAAAACATTTTATCAGTGGGAGTATGCAGTCCAAGTATTTGGGCAAGCAGAGGTCAGCAGACTTTTTCTGTAACGGGCCAGGGAGTAAATATTTCAGGCTTTGTGGGCCATATGGCCTCTGGTGCGGCTCCTCAGCTCTGTGGTGATAGCATGAAAGCAGCCATAGGTAATAGAGAAACAAATGGGTGTGGCCGGGTTTCCAATAAAACTTTTATTTCTGGATACTGAAATTTGAATTTCATAGAAATTTCATGTGTCACGAAATATTATTCCTCTTGATCCCTCTCAGCATTAAAAAATGTAGAAACCATTCTTAGCTCGGACCCTGAAACAAACAGGCTATGGGCCTTTGGACCATAGTTTGCCAACCTCTGCTCTAGACCACTGTTCTCAAATTTGAGCCTGCTTCAGACTCACCTGGGGAGCTTTTAAAAATGCATAGTTCAGTCTACGGCCATGCCACCCTGAACAAGCCCGATCCTGTCTGACCTTGGAAGCTAAGCAGTGTCGGGTCTGGTTAGTACTTGGATGGGAGATCACCTAGGAAGACCAGGTGCTGTAGGCGTAAAAAATAAAAAAATAAAGGATTGTAAGCTGACAAGGTCCTTGCAATCTGTGAGGAAAAAATAAAAAACACAAAAATAAAAAATAAAAATGTATAGTTCAGAACCCCAGCCCTGATTTTTGTAGATTTTATGGAAGGTCCTGGAACCTGCATTCTAAGAAGCAGCTCAGGTGGGTTGGAAGCAGTCTGAAGACCAGATTTTAAGAAACACAGCTTTGGAAGGTCTCCAGGGTTTTGGTGTGTTTAATTCAGCCAGCCCTTACTGACTGCCTGGGGGGTGTCATTTCTTTTTGCCTCTTTTTGCCCATTTTTGGAACCTGAACCCGAGGAGGAACCCACCTCTAAGATAAGGACCTGACCTCAGGGAGATCCCGGCATTTCTTGTCCCCCCAGGCTGGGATCCGGCTTCTGCTCACATCAACAAGAGGCAGAACGTCGTACCGGTTAAGAACACAGGCCCCGGAATCTGTGGCAACTCGCTTTGCCTGTCAGTGCTTTAGTTTCTTTCTTGTCCGTTGAATGGGGACTGTAATATACCCCCTTGTAGGTGCTGACGAGGTCAGATGAGCTGTGATGTGGGACACCTAGCACAGTGCCCGGCACCTATAAACAGAGTTGCTGCTATTGCTGCTTTTGACCAAGGTGGAAGCAAGGCAGCCCCCTGTCCCTGTCACAGGCACATAAAAACAGTCATTTGCATTTGTCTGGTGCTTTAATTAACATGGCCTTTTTCCATCCATCATCTCATTGCATCCTCCAGCTACAGCTGGGGTAAATACCAACAACCCATTTTACAGAGGTAGAGACTGAGGCCTAGCAAGGTTAAGTAACTTGTTCAAGGGCACACAGCTGGTTGTGTCCCCCACGAGAACCTAGTACTCTACCTGAAGCCCTTGGGGAGTCTCTCTCATCCCGGGATCTTGGTGACAATGAGAGAGTGTTTTGGTCAGTTTGCTGTGGGTCCTTTACCCGGCACTTTCTGCCCCTGCAGATAAAATACCATGAGGAGTTTGAGAAGAGCCGCATGGGCCCCAGCGGGGGTGAGGGCATGGAGCCTGAGCGCCGAGATTCCCAGGACAGCAGCAGTTACCGGCGGCCCCAGGAGCAGCAGCAGCCTCACCACATCCCGACCAGTGCCCCAGGTAGACGTGAGGCCTGCGGGGGTAGAGCATCTGAGACTAGGCCAGCTACAGGACGGGGAGAAGCCTCATAACTCACTCGCTTACTCACACACACACACACACACACCACCACCACCACCCCCCATCCCCACCAGGGACAGAGCCTGTGCTGGGCCCTCAGTGTGATGGGGGGAGACTCAGCCCCTGCTGTAGAATATGCAACACCTGCAAGTGTGCACACACAGGCATAAGTCTTTGAGAAGTGGGGGTGGACATACATGATAAGGGCTTCATGGAGAAAGGGAGGGGGCTCTGGCAGGGGCTGGGTTTGGCAGGATAGTTTCTGAGATCTGTCTCCTCCCATCTTTCAGTTTACCAGCAGCCCCAGCAGCAGGCAGCCCAGTCCTATGGTGGCTACAAGGAGCCTGCAGCCCCAGTGTCCATACAGCGCAGCGCCCCAGGTGGGGGCGGGGTGAGTATGGAAGCTGGAAGGGTTGAAGGTCATTGACCTAAGGCCTGGGGCTGCCAGAGATGGGTTGGCCTAGGGAAGGACATAGCTCAAGATTGTTCTTAGAAACCACACCCAGGAGGCCTGGCTTTCCCTGACCTTTGGCCCCAGCTCCTATTGTCATTGCAACCACAGTTGTATTTCATATGCTTTTACTGGACATTTCCTAGAGCTGAAGCATTAAGACTTTGGCTGAGGTTGGAAAGTGGAACCTGATGGAACTCTCTTGTGTCACCTGGAGATTTTTCTCCCAAGAATAGGTCTTTGTCCTGAACTTGGGAGCGAAGCCAGCCAGACTTATCATAGCTTCAAAAAAAGAAGAAAGACTGGTGTTTATAAGAATACAGACAACAGCGTACAGGGCATGCCAGATTTTTAAACACTAACTGGCCTCGTGTCCATTGGACCTTACTGCATTTCTGTTCTGAGAGGTGGGGCAGCACTATTGTAACTGTCTTGTACCTGCCCCTTAGTAGATGCCAAACTGGAAAAGGGTGATTGCTTGCAGAACATGAGACGCTGAGGTGAGAAAATTAGTGGCAGAGCCCAGCTGTCCCTGTCTCTCAGCTCCTGGCTCACTGCTCACCTGAGCTCTGCTCCAGGGTCCCAGAGAGCTAGGAAGGAAAGGCTCAGGCCCTGAGGGAGCTAGGCCCTGGGCTGACTGTACCCCCACCCCTGCAGAAGCGGTACCGTGCCGTCTATGACTACAGCGCTGCTGATGAGGACGAGGTCTCCTTCCAGGACGGAGACACCATCGTCAACGTGCAGCAGATCGACGACGGGTGGATGTATGGGACCGTGGAGCGCACGGGCGACACCGGGATGCTGCCCGCCAACTACGTGGAGGCCATCTGAGCCCACCAGGGGCCTTCCCGCCCCATCTGTCTTCAGCGCATTCCATAGCATTGCATCCGTCCTGGGCGTGACCTGTCCACCCTTCAGTGTCTTTGTTTTTTTAAATCTGCGACAGCTTGTTTATTCCCACCCTCCTCCAGCTTCTTTGGCCAACTGAAGCCTTGTTCTGCCACTTTTCGTGGCCTCCCTCCTCTGGCAGGTTTTCCCCTTGACCAACTTCTTGGTTTTCTCTCTGGATGGAATAGGTGTGGACTTCTCTGGGGGAGGCCAAGGCCTGTGGGGCTCGTCTGGAATGGGAGACCCATCAGCTCCCAGGCCTCTGCCTTCTCTCTTTTCTGCCCTCTCAGACCCTCCCGCCCACCTCCTCACATACCTGAACATTCCAGGGCTGGGGTGAGCCCCAGACCCCCAGGACTCCCAGGGGAGGGCCTCCATACATTCCTGGGAGTGGTACCCCACCACCCTTGCCCCTGGGATGGGGATGGGTTGGCGTGCTGCCACTGTGTAGGCACCAGTGAGAGGGCTTGGCCCCTACTTCTCAAAGATGGGGCTGCTGGCCCTCTGAGGGGTCCCCTCACCACCCTCTCCCTCTCTCAAGGACAACAAAAGAGGGGTAAAGTTCCCGCTTTAGGGTTCGTTCATCCTCCCCACACGTGTTCCTCCTCACACTGTGATTCTGCTCTCCTGCCCACACGTACCAGGTGTGGGCGAGGAGCTCCCCAGGAAGTGTGGCTTGGGTCAAGTTCTGGCCTTTCTTACTTTTAGGGACAGCTGCAGGAAGGAAGGGAACAGGGTGTTCTCTCCCTCAGTCCTTTTTACTTACTCCCAGCCCCAACCTCCAGGGACTCCTTGGCTGGAAGCCGTGGTCCTGAAAGGTAGGGCAAGGAAGCCTGCCTCGGGCCTCTTGGCTTTTGAGGCTCAGATCTGGGCAGGGTGGGCGGCTTCTTCCTATTCCTCACTGGAAGATTTCTCGAGCCTTCCATGGCCTTCCCTCCTGCCTGCTGCCAAATGGACCAGAATTGCAAAGCCACAAGACCTTCTTTATCTCCAGGACTTGGTATAGAGGCAGGAAGCATGTATATCTGTAAGTGTCTGTGACAGTCTAGTGTGAGCATGAGTGTGAGTGAAGGGTCAGGGTATGGCAGGTGTCCGGGCTTATCCGAGGGTGTGCAAAGCTATCTTTGATATTTTCCTCAAAATGCACATTGAGAGGGAAGGACCCTGAGGGAGAAAAGTTCCTTGTGTTTTCTTTGGAGTGAAAATTCCTCCTTTCCTATTATCCCCATATAGAGGAAGCCTACCTACCTGCCTTTGGACTATGCTGGGCAATAGTCGAGATGGTTGAGGATCGGTGGGGTAGGGGGAAAGGGGAAGCCTTCATGGCTTTAGGCATATTCTCTTCCCCCATCTCTGCCCTGGGCTGCAGAGTAGGGGCCAGAGGACCCTTTGTCACTCACACTGTGTGTGCCTCACTCTGGGGGCTCTCCCCCTTGACCTTCCCCTTGCTTACCTAAAGCCCCCTTGAAGCATTGGAAGACAGTCCCAGAGCTACAAAACTGGAAGCACGGGCCCCGGGATGAGGAAGGGAAAGATGGTGCTATCTCCGAGTCCCTTCTGTCCCTCATTGGTGGCTGTGACAACCCTTGCCTGGCTTTATTCATCTCTGGGCTCTCTTGTCACCCTGAGTCCACTCAGGTCTTACAGTTGATAATCTGATATGTGTGGGGGAGGGGCTTGCAGGTATAGTCATCAATCAAGTCCTCACTGCTTTTGAGTTGAGAATATTTGCCCCTAATCAAAGAGCTAAGGGAAATGACTGGGGAGGAGCCCCTGCCTGACCAACCCTGCTTGTCTTCAGCTGAGGTGAGGGCAGGTGAAGGGTCTTCTGTGGGTGATTTGGGGGATGAGGGAGCAATTTTGGGAGCCTTGGGGGAGGCACTGGTCCATTCCATTTCCTCGTGATCTCAAAGCACAACATGGATTCTGGGACCAAAGGTCAGAAACACATCCTGTTGAAGGAGTTGCAGTTAGGAGGGCGGGATGAGCAAGAAACAGCCTTTTCACTCAGCTTAATTTTACTTCCAAAACAAGGCAAGCCAGCCACTGGAATCTTGCTGTTGGGCCCTTTGCTCCTCCCATCCTAAAAATAGGGGAACTTTTCTTACATGCCCCCAGAGAGAGGAGGGGCTGTCAACACTGGTGCTGAGGGACCCAGAGGCTGCTGGGAGTCTTTGTTCCCCTCCAGAAACTTCCATCCCCAGAAGAGCACAGAACCTGAGTGCTGGGCTGAGTCCCTGGTCTTTTTGCAGTTCACAGAGGTCTTTTAGCCAATCTGATCCCAGGAAAGGAGATACATCAGAGCTAGAATGTGAATATAATGTTAGTGGACCAATAATATAAGAAGCCCAAATGTGAGAAAAGTGGATTCTTTTCAACATTGCTTCCTGTTTCCTTCATGTCCTTCTAGGGAAAACTGTTGCTTAAATTTTGCCTTTTTTTACCCTCACATATGCACTTTTGGGCCTTTTTTTTTTTTTTTAGTAGCTGGGGGAAAAAATTACCACCCCACAAACCTGTATTTAAAAAGAAACAAATGACCATGTGACATTTGCCTTTGTCCAAACATTTCATCTGTGTGTGTGAAGCCATCATTCATCTTTTTATATGGGGTGGTTGTCTCTTCTTGGTCTGTTTTGGTCCCCTCCCTTGTGGGCTTGTGCTTGGGATCGAATCCTTCTGTTATGATTCTGAACATTTGACTTAGACCATAAGTGAATCCTTCTGGTGACTCAAATAAAAGTATAATTTTTACCTGCGGACTTGGTTTTCTCTCTGGCTCTGAGATGCTGCTATGTGTGTGTCTCAGCTTTTTAGGGGCATTGGCCTGTTTCTCTCCTGGGAGCCCTGCCATCCTTTGGGAAGAGAATGACCAGTTTGGAAGCTGTCAGCTTAAAGTAGCAATTTGCCTTGACACCTTCCTTGTTGAGAACTTCCCACCAGTCTGCTTCTGGCTTTAGCCGTCTCTCCAGATTAGTGACACTCCCAGATATTTGCCTGAGCTCCCAGTCTCTTACTGATTTCCCTCACTAAGCACCTTTCTCTCCACTAGCCAGTGGGCTCAGGAGGTAATGGGCCTAATTCATCTTTAAACCCCGAGTGCCTGTCCAGAGCCAGTCTCATAGCTGCTCAACAAATACTTGTTGAATTAATAGGCTCAGCCGAGGGACAGTTTTAGCTCTCTGCATATAATAGGAGGTTGGCACATATTTGAGGAATGAAATGATGGAGAGACTGGGACAGTCAAGACGGGATGAAGCCATCTGCTAAGTGGCCTAGCAACCCACAACGTTCTACAATGCCTTAAAATTTGATGTTAACACATTTTTTCTCTGATCTTATTAACCTATGAGAGAAGTAACCACTATGATGTCCGCTTTACAGATGGGGTTCCCTGAAACCCAGAAAGACAGTGGAAGTTGTACCGTGGGACTGGCAGTCCAGGGCTGGAGGTCTTGGGACCCCTAGTGTGGTGCTCACAGTCTCATGCCCTGCTGCCTTGCCACAGCAGACTCTGTACCCACGCCCTATGCACGTCTCATTTGAATATCTCCTGGACTCTGTTCTTTGCTCCAGGTGCGTTGCGTCTAACCTCTGCCAGGAAGACCAGGTGGCCTCCTCTCTTCTGTGGGGCTGGGAAGAGGGCAGTGGTAGAGAAAGAATCTAGACCCTTTCGCCCCAGCTCGGTGCCACCAGTCAGCCTCATGCCCGGCTGTTTTGTAGAGAGGAGCGTTTCTCACTTGGAGCTCAGAATGAAGGCATTTTCTGGCTTCGGGCTAGCAGTAGGTTAGAGAGGAAAAGGGCTTTCCTGAGGTGATCCTGAACTGAGCTTTCCTAATGAGGGGAATGACAATCAGGAGAATGACAGCCCTTGTCAGCAGCGCCTAACAGTGTAGGGAGTGTCAGAGGCAGCACTGGGTGGGATAATTAAAGGCAATACTGACATCAGCTTCCCCTCTGAAGGAGCTGGCTTCCTAACATTTTCCCACTAGAAGGGAATGAATTGGCAAATCTTGCCTCCTGTGGGCCTGACCTTTTGTCTGGGAGCTGCAGCCCCCTTCCCCCCAGGAGGCTTCATTTACCTGAGCAATTTTAGGGAGTAGTCAGTCTGCTTAAGAGGCAATGGGTGCCAAGTCTCCACTCCCTGCTCCGCCTCCTGGGGACAGGCCAATGGGAGGAGTTACTAGACTCCCTTCTAGCCGTGACCTAAGTTCCTGAGATCTAGCTGAGGATGAGGCATATTAATGCCCTTAGCCCCAGGCCTTTCAAAAGAATATTTCGGGGTGGAGCCAAGGACACTAGGCCTCCGAGATGTCACAGGGAATTTTTAAAATTTACTAGGAAATAATTAAGACTTAGAAAAAGACATAAAAACAACACAAGACATACCTGAGTACCTACTACCTAGCTTAAAAAACAAAACATCAATTCTCCTTTTCCCTCAGAAGAAGCCACTTAAATTTGCATTTCTAGACATTTACTGAACAGGGATGAGCTTGAGAGTTCTTTAGTGCCTCTCTGGTGTAACACCATGTGGAGCTCTCTGGAGAGGATACAAGAGAACAAGACTGAGAAATGACCACAAAGAGACAAGAATAGACAAGGAGGAGAGACTCTGGTACTTACACTGTAAATGGAGTGATCTGAGCAAAATGCATCACAACCTGAGTAGTGTAGGTAGGGCTGAGTGGCATTTCAGACTAACAGGGTGGGCCAGTCTGGGGTGAGAAGAGTATGAACTCTGGAGTGTGCAAGCCTAGTTTTGAATTTTCGTCTCTGCCATTTCCATTGAAACATTAGGCAAGTTCTCGACCATCTCTGAGCCTCATCTACAAGTGATCTGTAGGGAAGTGGAAATTACATCATGTGTGAAATATCTGCCACAGTATAGAAATCCCATAAGTGTTAGCTCCATCCCCAGAGATGCCACCTAAGACTCACATGAGACTTTTGTCCATGTCCCTCCATAACGGGACCTTGCCAATGGCCCACCCAACTCCCAATCATTATTTTTCTGAGATAATTTACCAGGGATGTGTGAGAGGAAAAATGAAGAAGAAAAGCAGTCAAGAGAATTCATTCCTAAGGGTTCTGGATAAAGATTAGATCTCCTATGTCCATATCACGAGACTCGGCTTATATACAAAGGGGTGAGATTGGGTTCCTGGGGAGAAATTGAGCCTCTTCAGTTCTGCCTCTGCTAAATCGGGCAGTTCCTTGGTTACCCGCTCCCGGGCTTTATGATTGGTTGTTTGTGGTCTGTGATGGGGAGGAGGGAAGTAAGCTGCCGATGGAGCTGCAGCATCCCTTAGTTTCCGACCCTGGAAGGGGGCGGGGGGAAAGATCGAGGGCCGAGCAGTGGAGGGAGGAGGGAGCCATTTCTCTCCCGACTGCAAGCTCCGTGCTCACAGCTCACATTTCCCTGGAATCCAGAGGCCTCCTCTGCCAAGGACTCCATAATGCTGGATATTTTCATCCTGATGTTCTTTGCCATCATAGGCCTGGTCATTCTGTCCTACATCATTTACCTACTCTAGTGGCCTGCAGCTGCGGCAGGAGCCCGCAGGAGAACAGCTCAGGGGGGAAGGATGAAGCTGACTGGCCCAGCATCCTGCTTGCTGACGCACCGGTGGATTGTTGCTTCTGGTCATTATTTCGGGTATCGATTCAAAAATAAAATGAAAAGAGATCATGTTTTCCTATTTTTTTCTCAGATGCACTGATATAGCATATCTCAGACCACTCTGAAAATAAGAAATGCCAATTTCTTTCTTTGTGACCTAATTAAAAATAGGATTTTTTAAATGAAAAATAAAACCCACAATGTGAAGGATTTTTAGGTAGAATGGGCTGGGAGTGGTGTGCATGGTGGGAAGGACTATAATTTCCTAGTTTCTTTCTTCAGTTTTAGGTGCTCAAACTTCAAGTTGTCCATTCTCTCCTGATAGTTAAAGATAAAACACATGTTTATATGTCAGCGGAGTGGTTTACAGTTATGCTTGCATAGTTGCATTAATTAATTAGTGACTCATTCTTACTTGAGGATGAGATAGGAAATGAAATTTACTTGGGAATGAGGTTTTGAGGGAAGATGTTCATTCTTTCCCAACTGTGGGGTTTGGTGGAAAAGAGAGAGGAACTCCCATTTCTTTTTTTAGTCCATGGCCAGTACACAGGAGCTGAGACCTTTGCTGCTGAGCCTTTTTGTTTCTGGGTTTCCCACAGCTCCTGGTCTCCAGTCCAACCAGAGGCCTCTTATCAACTGCAGCAGTCCTGCCGCCCAGCAGACCTCTTCCAGAGCCTTCCGGATATGGTTAACCCCTGTCAAGCAAGGGGCTTTTGGAGCTCAGAGGCAGAGGCACTCGGCTTGGACATCAGGAATTCATGGGCATGGATGGCAGATGCTGCCTGGTTTGAGCTGTAGTTGGAGGGTGTTGAGAGCACAGAGAGCTGAAATGTAGACTCATTAAAATTACCATGGAGAATTGCTCAAAAATTCATTTTGATAGCCTTTCCTTAGTTCTAAATGCAACTGCATATTATGCTAAAATGTTCTTTCCTTTCCCTTTCACACGAAGGTTCCCTTTTAAGTCTAAGAGCACGTTGTCTCTCTTTATCTGTAAGTGGTCACGTTATCACTCTGCCTTTTTAGATTGCACAATCTGGGGTTGTGCGGTTTCTCTTGTTTTAGTCTCTAGTCAGAAAGAACTTGTCGTTTGAGTTTTTAAGATTTGTCTTCCCCACCCCATATCATTTGTGCCCCAGTTTCTCATTTAAAGAGAGAAATGGTTATATAGTCCTCATTCTTTGTGCCTGGCTGAATTATAAATTATTGAAACAAGCTGGCTATACTTACCTTACTTGTTATTTGGGAGAAAAAATCTCTCTCCAGCCCTAAAATAAATGTTTTTAAAAAATTGTCAAATGTTCCTTTTCTGGAAAAAAAACTTTCAACATTTTCTAAAATAGGGTTGAAGAAACCATATATTTTGGGATCCAGAGAAGACTTGGGCCTCAAATCTGTGGTATCTATTCCTTTGAAAAATTCATTATAATGGTTCTAAATTTGATTTTCTAACTTAAAAATAAACAAAGGAGAAATATGAACTTAGTAGTTTTTATTCACAATATTGTGTTCAATTTCCATGTTTTTAAAAGAAATAAAATCGAGGCAGTATGCTATCTTTCACAGTTAGAATGGAAAACTTGCACGTTAGAATTCTGGCCAAGAATAAAACACTGTTCTAGAAGCTTTCTCTTGGCAACAAATTATATGACCTTCAATAAATCATTTAACCTTTCAGGCCGTCAGTTGTTCATCTCTGACAAATGGAAGGATGGATTAGAAAATTGTTAATGACCTTTTCCATTTAAAAAGTCTACAATTCTAGGATGTGTTATCTTTGGAAACTACATCTTTGAGAGCAAAAATCCCATAGAATAAACTCTTAATAGTTTACCAGTAGTCCCCTTTTCTGCTTTTCCCAAATGACATTTTATGATGAAAACTCAACTGCAAAACACTTTTTTGGCACCAACAGCCACATTATGAGAAAATGACAATATTAATTTACCCCAAACATATATGTGATAATTTGCCTAAAGTGTTTAGGGAATATTAATAAATACAATACTACATGGTGGTATATAACAAAAAGAGGTAATCTGACAAGTATACTAATGCAAAAAGCATGGCTTTGAACATTAATACATTCAGGGATGATCTTCAGTTATCTGTGGACTTCTTGATGTGACACTTCCCAGTAAAAAATTCCTCTGACTCTTTGGCATAACTTTGCATTTCAAACTAAAATTTTCTTCAAGATAGCAGCTCTATGTCCTTACCTAGGTAATTATGGCAAGTGTCAGTATTTTGGAGAGGTCCAAGTAACGCAGTTACTTATAGTGGGTGTAGATCTTCATGGTATAGTCTCTAACCAAGCTTACTGTGAAGTCTTTTATGAAGCCAAGGCTCTTTAGTCTGTATCCAAAGCTGAAACAACTAATTAATTCACTGAAAACAATCAGCCAATTACAGTTATTCACCAATGATATATGCCATTGGTAATGGGCACAATATAAGGATAGAAAGATTATCCATATTTTCAGTTACTTGTGAAGTTTATGGTTTTAAAAATAAATAATTACATTTTGGAAGAAATTTTATGACTTCGTGCCTACATCCATGTTCTAATATGCCAATCTATAGCAGAGTTTTAGTGTTCATCATTTTGATAAAAAAATTTTAATTTCACATTTAGATTATTTGTATGTTGGCATCCTAAAACATAATAAAACACTGGGAAAAGTTACTTCTGTAATACAGTTTTGTATAAGTTTTACGAATCTGTGTCATAGGGCAATCATGTCCTATAAATGGGATTGTACTTGGCCCACATCAATGTAGTAAAAACATCTCTAAATAATTGTAGATTACTTATTAAAAAGTTATACTAATACTTGCTTTCTTGATAAAAAGGGGTTGGTATGGAAAAGTGATGTATTTTATTTCAGGAGAAAGAAGAGGATAAAAGGAGAAACGAGATATATATTGGAAACAGTTAAATAACGGAAAGGTAAATGTTACTAAGTTAGAACCACCTAAGACTCATAGTTCTGGGTATATGGAATCAATTTCAAACTTTCTGAGTTTGAAATTTTGCATGACATAATTCATTAAATTTTGGAAAATTTGATTGCTTTTAAAAGACTTAAAATTAGCATTATTCAAACTTCAAAATCTCTTAAAAGTATCATTTTAATGTACTCAAAAGTAATGGGAATTTCCCTTAATAAAGCCTAGTTGAAGTGGAAAATTGTCTTTGTAAATTATATGCTTTGGCTTTATCACACTCTAAATATTTGCTAAGCCTAGATGGCCTTTTCTAAATTAGTTTTGCTCCCATCTGTTTTAAACAAAAATAAAACCAAAATCATATATAAAGAAGGAAACAAGAAAAATCATTAACACATCCATTATAAACTCAAACATGCTAAAGCAAATACATTTAGATATATTTAACAACTTCTTTGTTCTTAGGAAAACTCTGTAAATTCTTGTAGTCATGGGAAATTACAGGTAATCCACAATACTTAATTACATATTTTGTTTTTTGAAACTGGTGTTAAACTATGATAATTGTAGCATTTCTATTTTAGCAGCAATTGAAATATTAAGTGCTTGGGAATTTTGCCTCTGAATTAAATAGCAGAATAGTATAGAATACTGTTCTACTTACAGATTATTATACAATTTATGAGTTATTGCTAGTAAATGAAATTATTTATATACTATAATGTTAAGCATAAATATATGTATACATAAATATATAGCCAATTGCAACATTATTTTATATTAAGATATTTCATATTTTGATCATGGTACTGAGCTATAATTAACAGCTTAAATAAAAATAAGTTTCTCCACAAGAAATAATTTAAAAGAATTATACACTCAATGACTTGCATAATGACAAACTCTGAACAAGTTAGAACTGTTTCTAATTTTATTTTATTAGTATCAATAAATAACAAATTAAATAAAATTCATTATATGTTGATTTAACATTTTACCATAAATGCTTTAAAAAATAACAATACATATTTTTCAGTTTTGTGTGCATTTAAGAACAAAATTATCTTAGAATACCTACAAGTTGTTTTTTTTTTTTAATTTAAAAGGCTTTCAAGGGCTAAACTAAGTTTTTTTTTTTTAAGTCTCTAGTTACTTGAGAAATATTTTGGAGTTATATTTGCTTTCTTGATGAAAAAAAATGTGTTCCTAGTCCTTTGGCACTTTTTTTTTTTAACCTAGAGAAGACTGTCCAATACAATTGTCTTTCAGTTCATCTTTCCTATCTTAGTGATGTATCAACAAGCCAAGGAGCATATTCCCACAGCCTGATTTCTTACAAGTTTCATAGCTACCTTCTAGTGGAATTGGTAAAGAAATCACATTGCTAGTAAAATGTCCAATAACCTAAGAAGCTTTTGTAGCAGCTTTGTGTTTTTACCTTTCACAATATTTATTGACATAAAAATCTATAATCATATAATTTAGTACTATTCACTTAAAGAGGTTAACTCAAGTAACAATCACACAAAGAAGTTAATGTTTGTTTTTTATTGACATAAGATGGTTCTTCCAGTTGTACCTTCTGCTGTGCACACCTCATGGTTACTCTAATCTCCAAAGGCGAATAATTATCCTGGCAAGAAAATCTTTATTAATAGAAGAACTGGAAGCATGAACTAAGTCATCAGAGGATGAGAAAAGTGTGAAATAAGGTGCCTATTGTTCATTCTATGGAGAGCAGCCTTGAACTCTTGAATGCCTGAAAAGCTTCCCAAGTATAGTAATTTATTGCCTGTATTGTGAAAACAATAAAGTTGAGGAGTTAGAGAGGCATGAGAAAGAGTTATCCAAAAAAGTGTTAAGAATAGATGTTTTATGGTTTCATAAGGTACAGAATATTTATCACAAGCTATAAACTTTAAATTAATTTCTAAGAAAAGTAGCATCATTAATTTATTATTAGTACAATTATGATGTCATGTGTGTTTAGAAACAATAGTAAAGATAAATATAATGATGCGTTGTTGAGCTCTTTTGAGCTTGTCTTCTAGGGGAAGTAAAAATCATCCTACATTTTGAAGTCAAAAGAGACCAAAGAAATCACTATCAAAAGGAAAAAAAGAACTAGAAGCCCAGGTCAATCTTCTAATTTAGAAAAAGGTACAGGATAAATTATCTGACTTGCTAGTAGTTTACGTTATGTTATTATGACTATTCTAGAGTTTGTTAGAAGTGGACAGACTCCCAGTGTTTTTAGATTATTCATTCTGCAAATGCTCCTTTTTTTTTTGTGGGAATATAACTGCATATATCCTCACTTGAACAACAATACTAATGACAATAACATATGCTTTTGCAAGTTAACCTCCCACTTTAAAATTTGATATCACACTTTATTCCTAATGACAAATGTATCCCTTTAAAAACTATACTGCTGAATTGAAGAAACTGCAAATTTGGTCTCAAATGTTATTTTTATCTGTTAATAACTGAATGAAGAACTTGTTGGTTTACTTTTTATTAGTGGCAAGATCATACCATTTATCTACTGCACCCAAAGAATGAATCAAATTTTTTATGTAAGATAATCTTACAATTATCGAGAATAATGCAATAATGTGTTTTAAAAGATTTACAGCAGCAGTCATGTCAGTTCAACTGTGCGATGAGATTCAAAATCCAGGTCAAAAATGTTTTAAATTAAACCATGTTTCTTTTGTAAACTTGCTGAAAATAACTGAGACTTGGATAATTCGAAGAATTCAAGAAAACTTCACAATGCCAAATTGCTTCTCTAAGAGAATGAAACTTAGCATCTATTTTGTAAACTATTAAAAAATATTTACTATTTATATTAAAATTTTACTTTTTTCCTTCATTTTTCTTCCCCCAACCTCCAAATAATCTAACAGAGTATATTCTCAACTTGGAATTACCAATATTTTGATAAAAAATGGATTAGGCTTTTCAAAGCATGTATAAGAAAGAGAGAAAAGAAAAAGCTATTTCAAGTGTTATTTTGTACTGTGATATCTACCAACTTTTAATCTTCATAATTTAGTTGTGGATGAATTCTTAAATTGAGAGGAAGAAAATGAAACCAGGATAAAAGCAAGGACTTTGTTTTTGTGTAAATATGAAAATGCTAAACTCTGGAGAAACAATTCCTGCCACTGAAGGAATTATAGTTGGACAATCCAGAAAGGCAGTTAATTTCTGACCCTCTAAAAATGAAAGTTAAGTGCCTTTATTACTGCAATTTAGTAAAATCTTGTTATCACAATTTATATTTTCTCCATAACTTGCTCTCTTCCTCAATCCTATTAAATCTCTCACTGAGCCCCTCTTGTCAAATATTTGAGTATTTCCCAGAATTTATACCCTACTTCCGTGAGTAATTTCTATGTTTCTTCCCTTCATCAGCTCAAGAGAGGTGAGTTAAGTCAAGGGCTTAGGAAAGAGAAAGTCAGCCTCTGAGAAGCCCAGTGGGAAGGGGTGTGTCCAGATGATAAATGATCAAATCTAGGGAGAAGAAAATGGGCAATCCAGGAGGGCTCCAGCATTATTTCAGCACTGTTAGGCACTATTATTTTCGACTTTAATAGTAAAAGTAGTGGTGGCAAATGCTAGTCAGACTGAAATAGTCCTGGAGCTTCTTGGAATCCATTTCCTTGAGTGAAGAAAAACCCCATTCTTGGGCTTTTCTAACTATCCATGCTTCTAGTTTTCTTCAAGTCCCACTCTTTAAGATAGGGAGATAAGCTTTAAGAAGATATGCAAATTAATTGTGAAAATTATTCTAGCAGCAGGATAGCTACTTTTCTTTCATTTTATATTTTCCCTTATTTGCAGCATTTTTACTTTAATCCCCAGGAAAGAATAAAAAATGATTTGTATTAAAACAATATATATTACCTTCCTCTATAGACTTTTTGTATGATTTGTTTTAAAGAAGGAAACATAGATACATGTTTGTATATACACAAAGATATATATATGAATGTGTATATTCATATTTTTTGTTTTATATCTGTTCATGCAAAATGTGAACGAAATATAATGTTCTTTGTCAATGTTCTAATCATATGTCAAGAAGGTGGTAAAAAATGTGATTTGTATCTGTACAGTCCAAAACATCATATTTGCAAACCTTCACGCAACATTCTAGGCTATGTCTACACAACCTAAACAAAGTGAACAGATACATACTATAATGAATTTAGATTTGCTGTAACTATAAAACAAATTTTTCTCTTGCTTCAAAGATCCACACATATGGGTTGGCTGGCCCCAGATTCTTGGACGCTAATATTCCATTTAGTTTGGTATTAGGTTTACCAAAATCTGGAGAGGCACAGCTTATTTTCCAGATAAATCTCAATACATTCTTGGGTTTGCCTATAATTTTTATATTAATAATGTTTAAAGCAGCTACTTCTAAAATTCTATGCAGGCGATGAATTACTTAGGTGATATAAAGTCCCATGGATACTATTCTTTGATTGATGAAAAATAGCACGTTTCTAATTGTTAGTTCAGTGAGGTATTCTCTAAATGCAAGGCTTTCTGAGTATTTAGGTAGAGAGAGTATTCATGGTCAAATACAGGACCTCCTTATGGAAGTTAGCCTGAGCATGCACAAGATGGAACAAATTCAAAAAGCTTCTGTCCTCTTCATCACGGTCTCCTAAATGCCATACACGGGAGTGGACAGTGAGGAAAATAAAATAACAGTTAAGTTTTTAAATATATGATTTAAATATATGATTTAATAATATGTTAACAGAAGACTAGTTAGTGGTCTTTAAGTTAGATGTTAACCATTAAAATCATGGAGTTCTATATGAGCATTAAATTAAAAGTCAGAAGAAAAGGATGCTGGTCCATGCTTTATTGCTTCTAACTTTATGACTTAGGACAAGTCAGGTAATTTCACTAAGCTTTAGTTTTCTCATCTGTAAAACAAGGTTAATTTTCATGTTGGCTAACTAATAAAACTGTAAAATAATACATATTGAAACTACACAAATATAGGATATGATTATGATGATTATGACGTTGACAAGTGAGTACGTGAAAATTTTTTGCTGTGCAAAATTGAAACTGGTTCCTTTCAGAGTAGACTCTTCAGCTTTATGTTTCCCATTAAAACCCATACGAGATTTTAAAAGTGACAAAACCAAGAACTAAATATATCTCATGGAAAAACAAACAAAATGTCTACTTCTTCTATTCTTAGTTTAGAAATAAGAATCTACAGAGAATTATCTCTGTCATAAGCAGAGACTAGAATGCATTTTATTCATATCTGTGCACCATCTACATGCATACTCACCAGACATAATTGACTGCAGCATTTCCATTATAACACATGCAAATGCATTTGCCACACTCTGCAGGAAGTTACTTCTTTCCACTGGAGTACTAAAGACCTTACAGACTTTTTGCATCATTTTAACTGCCCAATCCATGCAGTATAGTTCTTTCTCACACACCTGATTTAGATATACAAAGCATTATGGTAAATTTTCATGTGAAGAAAGCTATAGAATTTGAAAATAGTATTATTAACTATGATTGTTTATGATTTTACATAATTTATTACACATAACATTATATTGAGTCTGTAAGTGGGAAATGCTCTTGTAGCTAATACTCCTTTGCTTTTAAATGGTTCAATTTTAGTGGAAAATGTATGACAAAAGTCTGGTTCAAAATTATCAAAGAATATTCTTTACTAATGTAAAATCTAATATTGAAAACAATATAAAAAATAAGACTTCTGCTCATTCACTCATTCACTAGATATTTATTGAGCACATGCTAAGAGCTGGAAATACAATAGTAAGCCATAAAAACAGGGCTTCTATTTTTAAGGGGTCCAATCAGGGTGACAACAAACAGGAAAATTCAATAGGCAACAGAACTCTATAGTGTTATCAACTTGCCACCTTGAGAGTTGTAGGGAATATTTATCTATTATTTCAAAGATAAATGTTTAAAGACTACACATTAATAGCTAAAACTGAAAAGAAAAAGATTTATTTACTAACATTCTAAATGGCCAATTTAGCTCACATAGCCAAATAATACACAGCTTTATAAACTTCATAGTTGTGTAACTAAATGATGTTAATCTGACAGGAAAGACACTTATGTGTAAGGCATAGTATGAGGCACTATGGAAGAAGTGACATAGTTCTAAATTTCAAAGAATTTCAGCCCTTCAGCTGCAGCAGCCATTGAGAAGCAGCAGCCATGGCTCTGCACTACTCAATGGCCATGGGCCTCAACAAGGGTCACAAGGTGACCAAGAATGTGAGCAAGCCGAGGCATAGCTGCTGCAGCGGGCGCCTCACCAAGCACACCAAGTTTGTGTGGAATATGATCCAAGAGGTGTGTGGCTTTGCCCCCTATAAGCGGCACGTCCTGGGGCTGCTCAAGGTCTCCAAGGACAAGTGGGCCCTGAAGTTCATCAAGAAAAGGGTGGGGACACACATCCACACCAAGAAGAAGTGGGAGGAGCTGAGCAATGTCCTTGCGGCCATGAGGAAGGCAGCAGCGGAGAAGGACTGACCCCCCCACTCTCCCACCAATAAAGCCTTTTCAAAACCCGGGCTCCTGTGCTGGCATTGGGGGAGGTCACATCTGGCCCATCATCTGCTTGAGACCCCTTCCTGGGGCTCAGTGCGGGGCAGAGAAGGAAGCAACAGACAGTACTGGAAATGGTATTTAATCATAATAAACAGCTCATATGAGCCAGAGAAAAAAAAAAAGAATTTCAGTGGCCAGGACATGGAAGCAACTGAAGTGTCCTACAATAGATGATTGGATAAAGAAGCTGTGGTATGCATATACAGTGGAATATTACTCAGCCATAAGAGATGAAATACTGCTATTTGGGACAACATGGATGGACTTCGAGATAATCATATTAAGTGAAATAAGCCAGATAGAAAAAGTTGAAAATCACATGATATCACTCATATGTGGGATATAAACCTAAAAGCAACAAATGAACAGGATAAACAAAGAGAGACTCATGGACATGGACAACGGACTAGTGGTGGGTGCGGGGAAAGGGAAGAAGGATGGGGGAAAAATTAAAATCATTTCTTCGATTAAAAAAAATAAAAATAAAACTTAAAAAAATTTCAAAGAATTTGTTATATATTTCACAGATGACTTACCCCACACATGAAATTGCTTAAGAACACTATTAAGAAATGAAAATAAAGAGAAGACAAAGGTAATTTAGGGAAAATTAATAGAGTTGAGATGCTAATCAGAAAAGGCTTTAGAGAGAAGGCTTCTTCATCTCTAGTGACTTCCTTGCCATTCTGTTTGCTATAGTGCTGCCAAAGTGAACTTTCACAAACTTAAAACTGATCCTGTCTCTCCCCTTCCTAAAACTTTTCGGCAGCTCCCTATTAGAGGATGCATTCAAGCTCCACAGATGATCTACAAGGCCCTTCATCATCTGGCCTCTCCCTTTCTATCTAATCTTTCACCTCCTCCTCCTCCCCTTCCATACATTTTACCCTTCAGAAATAATACTGAGCTGCTTATAGTCCTGTGAATATAGCCACGCAGTTCCATTTCTCTCTCTCTCTCATAGAGGGAATCAACTTAATTATTAAAATAAATATTTACATCGAGAATACAATTAATTTAGTAGCTTTCTTTACATTTTCACATTTTCAAAAGAGCCACAGAGATATCATTCATGTTTTAATCAGTTGAGTTGGTAAAGATTCTGTTTCCATTTCATAGGAAATGGATTACATTCAATTACTGCTCACAACACCCAAATGGAACATTATTTCATTGCTTTTGAAGCACTGGTTGAGCTGACATCTGCAATGGTAGCCAAATAAATGAGATTTCTGTGTAATGCATGTAGGTACATGCTTGAATAATTTGTCCCCTCTGCCTGGTGAACTTCTAATCATTTTTAAAAATCTATTTCTACTGGGATTGGGGAAGCTCTCTCTGTCCTATACATTCACCCAATATTGGCTCCCCTTTGCCACTTCTGTTTCTTTTTGTACTTATATTTTTGCATTTATCTTACTGAAGTTATTTATATATACCTTGATATCTCTTAAAAGACTATAAGCAGCTTTTGGTTAGAGATTTGTTCTATTAATTTCCATAGTCCTAGAATCTCACACAATGTATGGCCCATGGTAAAAACACAATCTGTGTCAAATGAATGAGTATTAAATATATTTTTAAATGTTTTATTTTGAAAACCATTTTAACTATACAAAAGTAGAGAGACTAGTACAATGAACCGCCAGTACCATTTCCAGCTTCAACAATTACCAATCTTGTTTCATCTCTACCACCACTGACTTTCATATGCTCTCTCTGCTGCCTATCAATTATTCTGAAGCGAATCAAATGGGGTACTTTATTTTTTTAATGGAATTTTAAAAACGAATATATAACTTGGCAGAGCTGCATGACAATCTAGATATGAAGTGGGGAGTAGTTAATACAGGGAATAATTCCAAATATGATAGTTTATTAAATATATTTTAAAAATTTACAAATATATATAATATATACTTAAATAATTATTCTTTCAAAATGTTTTGTATATATTTCGGTTACTTCAGGGCAGGTCCCTGGAGGGTCAACTATAATGTTAAACAACTTGCTAGAGAAAAACTTATTTTTACTTACCAAAGCCAAAAAGACTATCAGCTTTGCCAGTTCAATGGCCCGTCCATTTACAGCTTTACTAGCCATGAAAGTGAAACAGATGTTGTTCCCACTTAGGATTAGGAGACGTGCATTATTCTCTAGAAGCCATTCACGGGGAACCACTTTTTATTAAAGGAAGAACAGTTATTGAATGAGAAATTATACAATAGCTATAGTAAACATCGTTAATTATATGTAATATTATATCACTTTGATAGAAATACAATTAGTGCCAAGAGAAAAGTTCAGAAAAAAATGCTTTAGTTTTTCAATTATAGCATTTAACTGGAGATGGAGATTGCTACCATGTTATGACAGTTCTTACAAATGTACTAGTAATATAGTCAAAGCATTTTTCCTACACATAGTTCAACAGGCAAGGTCGTCTAATTCTGTGAAAGAAAAGAAATTTTATAAATTTTAGAATCTAAAGGATTATGCATGAATGGGAAAAATTGTTTCACTTCTGCTATACCAACAGGAAAGAGTTTCTTTTCATACAACCTAGGAGAGTGTTTCTGAGAACTTGAAAAATTAGAATAAATGAGTTAATAAATTATGAAGATTTTGGATAATAATGGTAATAATATATATTTATAAAATTTGCAATTGAAAGAAAGTTGATTATATGCATTCTCTTCAAACAATGCCAAATTCTTTAGCATTTAATTATATCCAATAAATAAGTCATTTGTTACCTATAGAATTACAATTTTCTAACTGTATTCTAATAATAAATTTCTGTTTGTGTGATAAATATATTTTTTTACCTGATAGTTCATCTACAAGACTGATAACATCGTCTGCTGTCCACTCTTTGACGCCTGTGTCATATAGTAATTTAATGGCATCAGCCAAACCTTTCAGACTGGATTCATCTGTAGGTTCTTCTATCATTTTCTGCCAAACCACCTGTCCTGAATGATAATTAAAACAAAAATTAGGTTATGAAAGAATAGTTGGCTTTATGACAAAGACTTCATGGATTGTTTAAGAAAGAAATTGAATTGCATAATAAAATTCATTACTTATACATGCTACTTTCATAATGAAAGGTCAATTCTGGTAACAGTATAAATTTGAATGTCTCTGACTGATGTGATAAAGCACAGCAATAATAGCTAAATGAAGTAAAGACAAGGTAGTTTCACCAGCAGAATAGGGCTTCTAGTTCAAAGATAATGCCAACCCTAAAACAGAAATTGGAATAATTAATGTAATCTTACTAAAATAAAATCTGAAAATAGAATATGCTATATTTGAGAATCTTCTGAACATTTAAATCAAAATAGAGTAATTCAGTCAATTTTTGATTATTTCCCCATGACCAATTCTTTTTGTGAATTACAAACAAAACAAAATTTAATTCCAGATTGGCTTCTTGCTTCTTTAAACTGGTTACCTCCAACATAAGGCAATGTGAACGAATGAACTGTATTCTAATTTTAACATTAATCCAAACTTAATTATACAGGCAAAAAATTGCAAGAAATTATATTATGCACCCAAAATTGAGTAAAACATCTATTCTGACTACAACTTTTATTCCCTGGCACTATTTGCCCCTTTCAGCAGCAAATATATTCTTGAGTTAAAATAATGTTTAAAAATGAAAAGTAGCTGTTTTAGGTAAAACAGAGATAATAGGAATATATTTAGTAATGGCCTACAGGAGAATAATTTCTATCTTGAAGCTTAAGTTATGCACAAGTTAATGTGGCAATACATCTATGAAATGAAACACAGTTTAGTCATTAGGAATGATGAAACTGAGCAGTACAAAAAGATATGCTTCCTAAAGTAAAAGTAATTTAACAACTTTTATAACATATGTTGCTAAAAAATAGATGCTTACCATCTTGAGGAGATATTGGTCCAAAGATGATATACAGTAATCTTGCCTGATTCACCATTGGCCAAGGTTTTAGTATACGTGTCAACCAAAAAGCAGAATCACTTCGATGTGTCCAATGATCAAGTAGGACATTCCTACAGAACAGTCTGATCCTTAACTCTAGTTTTCGGGCACTTCCTGTGAAAACAAAATCTTGTAAACCATTCCTCCTAGAAAGGTTGATGTACATAATGGATAGGTCAAAGACATACATCATTAATATGCTTCATAACTGAAAGCATTAATTTACTTGCCTTTGTAAAAATTTTAGATCAAGGGACTCTTTAAAAATAGCTTTATTGAGATACAATTTATACACCACACAATTTAGCCATTTAAAAACACCACACTATTTAGCCATTTAAAGCATACATTCAGTGGTTTTTAGTATATTCATAGATATGTGCAGCCATCACCAAGTCAATTTTAGAACATTTTGATCACCTCAAAAAGAAATCCTGCCCTTTGAGCCATCATTCCCCTATCCCTTTGTACTTTACTGCCCCAGCCCTAAACAACTAATAATCTACTTTCTGTCTCTATAGATTTCCCTATTCTGGACTTTCATATGAATTAAATCCTAAATTATGTGGTCTTTTGTTACTGGTTTCTTTCAATCAGCATAATATTTTCAAGGTTCATCCGTGTTATGGCATGTATCATCAGTACTTGATTCATTTGTATGGCTAAATAAGAGTCCACTGTATAGATATACCACATTTCGTTTATCTATTCACCCATTGATGGACATGTAGGTTGTTTCCACCTTTTGGCAATTCTGAATAATGCTGCTATTAACATTCATGTACAAGTTTCTATGTGGACATATGTTTTCATTTCTCTTGAAGGTATACCTAAGAGTTGAATTGCTGGGTCATATGGTAACTCTATATGTAATCATTTGAAGAACTTGCCAGACTGTTTTCCAAAGTGGCCGAACCATTTTACATTTTCACCAGCAATGTGTGAAGGTTCCAATTTCTCCACATTCTCACCAATACTTGCTGTTATCTGACTTTTTGATTCTAGCCATCCTAGTGGCTATGAAGTGGTATTTTGCATTTTTTTGATTGAAATACATATAATTTACATACCAATTAACTCATTTAAAGTATATAACTCAATAGTTTTTTTAATACATTACATTATTAATTTTTAAAGATTATGGTAAATATATATAACATAAAATTTGATATTTTAACCATTTTTAAAGTATACAATTCGGTGGCATCAATTACATTCACAATTTTGTTTAACCATCACCACTGTCTATTTCAAAAACTTTTCTTCACCTCAAACAGAAACTCTGTAACCATTAAACAATAACTCTCCTCTCCCTCCACTTCCTGGAAACCTCTAATTTACTTTCTGTTTTTATGAATTTGCCTGTTATAGGTAAGTCATATAAGTGGATTCATACAATATTTGTCCTTTTGTGTCATAATGTTTTCAAAGTTCATACATGTTGTAGCATGTATCAAAACTTCAGTCTTTTTTATGGCTAATAATATTCCATATTTCATTTATCCATTCATCTGTTGATGAACACTTGGCTATTGTGATTAATGCCGCAATGAACACTGGCATACAAAAATCTGTCCAAGTCCCTGCTCTCAATTCCCTTAGGAGTGAAATTGCTAGGCCATATGATAATTCTATTTAACTGTTTGAGGAATGGAAGATCTGTCAATGATCTGAGGCCATATGTAAATAAGTAACCTGTGATATGCTAAGCCAAATAACAGAGAAGTTTAGCAGAGCAAGATTACTGTAGGCCTGGGGAGATCAGGAAAGGTTTTACAGAGGAGGTCAGGCAAATTGGATCCTAAAGGATAAGGAGAGATGGTTTTCCAGGGGAAAAAAAGGGAATAAAAGGTATGAGATAGAAATGTGTAAGAAATGTCTGAGAGTGAGTAGAGCAATACGCCTACTCTATATCAAACTGATATAGAGAATAATGGGCAATAGTTTGAAAAAGTAGGTTAGGATTAGAATGTGAAGACCAGTATAGTTTGGACTTTATTTTGAAGATATTAGGGAGGTAATAAAGTTTTTGATCAAGAGAAAGACATGATAAAATAATTTTGTATTGTTTCATTGAGCTTCTAATTCTGCCTTTTAATCCATAATTTGTTTTATAATGAAATTTCAAGATGAGAAAAGCAGAGATGCTATAACAAATACTGTGTACCACACACTTAGTTTGATACAAACTTTACTTTTTGCTAAATTTGCTTCCGATTTTGAAAAATAAATAAAACATTACCGATACAGTTTGGATTGGATGAGGCCCCCGCATTACAGAGGGAAACATGCTTTACTCAAAGTCTACTCATTTAAATATTAATCTCATCTAAAAAATAACTTCAAAGAAACATCTAGAATAATGTTTGACCAAATATCTGGGTAACTTGGCCCACTAAAGTTGATACACGAAATTAACTATCACATCTTCCAACTACATTCTTATACTTTTCAACACGTGTATATAATCATAAAGAATATATATAGTTATTTTTCATGTTTTTAAGATGTTTATAAATGGCTTCCTATTGAAAGTATCATTTGATAAGTTTTATCAAATCACATTTTGAGATTTATCTATATTAATACACATGGCTTCAGTTCATTCATTTTAACTACTAATGGTTTTAATTGTATGAACATGCCACAGTTCATTTATCCAGTCTTCTGACAATGGGCATTTAGGTTGTTTGCAGCTTTTTATGGTTACATGCCGCAATGCTCATTCTTATGTGTCTTCCTGTGCACACTGTGGGAGTTTCTCAGGTTGACATTGCTGAATTGTAGGGTTCTATAATTTTAAAAATATGAAATATTTCAGATATATACAAAGGTTTAGAATACTATAATGAACACCTTTGTATCCTTCACCCAGCTTAAGAAATAAAATACTATTAATAGAGTTGAAGCCCTCTGAGTACTTCTCTTTCTCTAATCACATGCTACTTGTGCTTACTATCTAATTTAGTGTTTATCATTACCTTACATTTCTTTGTCCTTTTATAATAAATAGATGCCACAACTTATTTTTTATTTTACTTTTTTCCTAGTTGAAATCTTATTTTTATTTTTCACGGTTTATTTTTTAGTACATCTTTGAACTCTGCTTTTTTTCTATTTTAATTTCTGTTTAATGTTATTTCTGAATTGTAGTTCTTTACCTGGTTTACTGAAGACAATGGTCTGCATCTTGCGGGAGAGATTAGTCAGCTCACATAAGAAGTTATAAACACGATGGCACTCGAGTTCATCCCAACCTGCTGTTAATGTCTGAAGATAATAAAGTAAAGGAAATAATTGCAAATGTTCAGATCATCGAATCAAAACATAAGTTACTACTGCCTTATCATAACTGTTGTAGCACATGATCCAAGTGATGTTCAATTTTTATCCACTATAGAACCATTGAAATCAATAAAAAATTTTACATAAACAAAACCTAGAAATGCTACAAATCCAGTTTTGTTGTTGTTGTTGTAAAGGGTGTATCTTTTCAGAGAACTGCTAAATGGTATTGAATCCTGAACTCTGTCAGTATGAGAAAAATAACAAAGGCCCAAACCCTAGATCACAGCTTTAGGCATCTGACTCACGACCATACTGTGGCTTAGTTTTATACTATAGTAGAACCCGTTTGACCCCCTCTAGCTATCATTTATGATATTGCTTAATTATTGATAATATCATTTTAACATGACAATTATGAGCATTTATTTATGACAGTTGGATGTGAACAAGCAAAAAATTTTTATTAGGACAGAATTTAATAATTACCTTTGAGCAAGCCCAAATGTACAGTTAAATATATGTGAAAAGGAAATTCAAATGGTGTATCACCATACAGTTGACCCTTGAACAACAATGAGTTTGAACTGTGCAGGTCCACTTATACACAGATTTTTAAAAATAAATACCTGCACTGTTTTCAATAAGGAAGTTGGGAGTCCATGGATGCGGAGGGCTGACTGTATGCATTGATCTACTCCATTTTATATAGGGGACTTGAGCATCCATGGATTTGGTATCTATGGGAAGTCCTGGAACCATTCCTCTTGGACACCAAGGGACAACTTAAATTCGGGAGGAGTCAAAAGTTATATGTGGATTTTCAGCTGTGCGTGGGTAAGCACCCTTGTGTCATTCAAGGGCTAGCTGGAATTAGATTTTGAAAAAGTTGATCAATCACATAAATTTTTCTTAAAATAGTTGACCTGGATTTCAGTAGTGTAAAAATTAATCATATTATTATTTCTAGAAGGACTTATAAGAAACTGCTAACATTGATAAATTCTGTTGAAGGGAACCCAGTGGACAAGGAACAGGTTGGGGAAGGAGACTTACTTTTCACCTTATACCATTTTTTACCTTTTGAATTTTACATAAATACATGTACTTATATTACCTGTCCCAAAGAAAAGAGAGCTAATAGGAGGGACTATGCTGCTGGAATCTGGATGTGCAGATGTTGGCTGGCAGGCTGGGATATAGCAAGATTGTTATAAGACTATTGTAAACCTCATTAGGTTGTTATAAGTTTTAAATAAGTTAGTACATGTAAACTGCTTAGAACAGTGTAATGTATGATTATTAATATTGAATAACGTTAAATTATGATGTTATTATCTTCTTTGTTTACAATAAATGATTAGTCAAAAATTCTTAAATTCATACAGTTGATTTCTTTTTTTCCCCAGGTCTACTGAGATATATCGACACATAACATTGTGTAAGTTAAATGTGTACAACCTAGTGATTTTATATATGTATATATTGCAAAACGATTACCATAATAAGTTTAGCTACATTTATTACTTACCATAGTTAGAATTTTTTTCATACAGTTGATTTTCTAAAATAACATCTTAAATAACTAGCTCAAGAATTAAAACTCATTACACACACACACCTCTCACTCCACACTATTTCTAGTCTTTACAATACTGGTTAGAAACTTTGAGGACATTGGTATAGAGCAAATAAATGTTAAACATTTCTTACCAGTGAGAAATCCAAGAAGAAAATCTGAGGTGATAAACATTAGGTTAACACAATCTCAAATTTTTACAACTTTATTTTATTTTTTTAGATTATTATTACTTTTATTAATCCAAGAAACAATAGATTAAATGCTTTACTTGTCAACAGTTCAAAAATATTCCTTTTCTTCTTTCATTTTAAAAAATGTACCTGTAAAAACATGCCATAACATGATAATCCTAAACATTGCATAGGAGCTGCACAGCCATTGAATTTAAAACAGGAAACCTGTGAAGAGAACAACTATTAATTCCTCCTTTATAATGGAACTGTAAAATGATTTGACATTCAAATTTAATGAAAATAGATAAGAATTTTTCAGTATTAACTGAAAATAATTAAAATGCTAAATAACTGATTAGTTTTGTGGTATATAGTGGAGATTGAGAGAAACATAAAACAAAGGCTGCCTTTGAGCTCACAATTTATTTAAGAGAATAAGATATACACATGTGAAGTTATTCCATACTTGAGGTTAGAATATATATAAATGCTAAAATGACCAAAAAAGTACTATATCAGACAATATGAAAGCAGGGAAATAATAAATTTGGGAATGATTTTAAAAGCTAATGAGGATGTTAAATAAGCAATGGCTTAAAGTAGGATTCAGCTATAACAAATGGAAAGAGAAACAATAAGGACAAAATTGTATTGAGGTAGGAATAACAAAAGTTTACTTGAGAAGAAAGATATGACCAGCTTAATTAGGCTCAAAGTAGTAGGAAGTAAGGTTGCATCGTCACAGAGAACCTTAAATACCAGATATGGATTTTGGACCTTATTTTGCTGAAATTGAGTAACCACTGAAAGATTTTAATGCAAGAAAATTAGCTTGATGAAAGTGAGTTTTATGATTCAGTGTACAGAATGCCTTGGGGACTGAAGAAATGGATGGCAGAAAGATTACCTGGAAAGCTACTCCACTAACATAGATCTGAATTCAATGCACATACTGACATGAAAAAAGTCTGTGCATCAGAAATAGTTTGCATAGTATTCAGTATAGAACTGAGCCATCAGCATTGTATGTATGTTTGGGTTTGTATAGTAAAACTCAATTGCTCATATAAAGATTATGCCCCAAAACACTGATATACATTTCCAAGTTATAAATTATCAGAAAAGTGTTATCATTTTATGTATTAAAATACTTTCCTATGCTTTTGTATATTTAAATAGTAAGATTTTAACATTCAGAAATTATTTCATTTTAATAAAATATCTAAATCGCCACTTTAAAAATCCTCAGGATTCCTAAGTGGGGTAACATACTTTTATACTCTGTTAAACCTAATAAATTTAAGCGATATACTACTTAGTTATGTATAAAAATTATTTTGTAACAAGTAAGACTACTATACTACATTTTGCTATTTTATAATCTTTGAGTACTTGGTAAAGTATTAGATTATCATCAATTAATTTTTTAGTACTAATTCATGAAGTTCTACCAATTAAGGATGGATTTTAAATGAATCTAAGACAATAAAACATCGCTACTGGAAATCAAGATTGTAAACTAATTCAGAATTATGGTCTTACCTCTGCGAGTATCTTGTGAATATACTTCAGTCTTTCCTTTGTAGGTAGCAGCAACGTACATCTCTTAAAGAGTAACCCTGAGAAAGTAAAGAGACACATGAAAAAATGGCAACAACGATCCAATTAAGTTAAGAATATCAACAAAGCACAACATAACATTTCCTGAAAGTCAAGTATGGAATATCATAGTGGACTGTGAGCTGATATGGTTTTTAAGAGGAAGGTCAGGAGGAAGGGTACGAAACTCTTATATGGTGATTATCAAGTGACTCTGATGTCCATCTAAGAGGCACTGGCATAAAATCTTAAAATATTTGAAATTGATACTATAGAACGGATATGGAAAAGTATTTAGATTTAAAAAGATACAATAACAAGATACAAAATACACTAGGGAAACTTTATTTTATCTTTATTCCATAGAAAACATATTTGAGTATCTCTTGAAATTAACCTCATGTCCATGAAGGAAAATGTTTTGAGTTGTTAATAAAAAACATGGAAAGAATGAGAAAAGAGATTTTGTATTCCTTTCTCCAAATAAAAAAATTTAAAGTCATAAGTACTTAAAATTTCAGAGATTAGAGTATTTTTTGCTCTCAGAAATCAGCCGGTTTGGATAAAATATCTATTTCTTCCTTTAAAGATATCCTTTTATGGGGTTTGCATTTTAAGAATGTATAGAATTTTGTGTTTAGATATTTAAAAAAGAAAAAAACTTCAGTTTCCCAGTGAGATATGTAAAATAAACTACAGTGACAGGAAGTACATGATTTGTTTCCTCTAACTTTAAGTGGTCTGTTTTCCTAAAATGGTAATACATTGTTAACATTCCTGTGAGGGTACATGTCTTCAAACTAAAAATAAGATATATGGCAAGAAAATATATACCTGAATATTATGACTTTCTTCAGTTTTATCTTTTCTGCACTTACTTTTTAACAATATAATAACTACTTTATGTAATTCTGTAGAATCTATGGGAATCTAATTTATTTTTAGAAGTTGTTATGTTTGGGTAACACATGACCAGAATTGAGCTTTAAACATAAACCCTCTCTATTTTTGTACATAAAAAGACATTTTCAGTGTTTGGTTTTTAGGCTGAGTTCTTTTCTTTTTATGTTTTGGCATCCAGTCCCATGGCATATCATAGCTGGGGAATTGTAAGCTATAATTGTATGTTGGTTGCCTTTTCTAATGTAAAATTCCTATTTTTAAGAGTTGCAATTTACCATAAAAACCAATACTGGCTGACTTATTTATTTTTTTTTAACACAGGTGCACTGCTATACCCTTTAGAGACCAACTTTTTAAATTTCTTCATACTAAAATAGAGTCAGATGTAATGTTCTTTCCATACTGGCCATCTGTTCTGTTTTGTATGAAGAAGCAAATTAAAATTTATAATCTTCAGAGCACAGGATTCTGAAAATGTTATTTTAATGTGTGAAAACAAGAAGAGATCAGATAGAAATGGCAACATGAAAAAATGGTAAGTACATCAAACATTTATCTAAAGAATCGGTCATAAGCCAGGTGTTGCATCAAAATTAAATGGAAGGTTGAAATCGTTACATGAATAAATCTGTTTTAAAAAGCTATTAAGATCAATACACACTTGTATTTTTTAACTGAATTATCTATATTATTGTCTTAATGCTTTTCTGTTTGTTTAAGCACTTGAGCCTTGGTCAGGGAAAAAAATTCTTTCAGATCAAAACCAAAGAATAAACTCTTTTATCCAAGTACCATTTCCTTTGCAACAAATGATGTTTGAAAAAAGATATTTAAAATGACAAGTAGCAAAAAGTTATTATGTATTCTGATATAAGCTTTACTATAACATAGTGAAGCCAATAACATTGTAATCAGATTACACATCTTTCATTTAGTCTTATTAAATATACTGTCAAATACATTTTGATATATTTACACATCTATACAGTCTTTATTATCTTAAAGCTAGGTATCCTTAGGCTACTAAAAGGTAACATTCACTTAACTTACTATTATGCATGGTTTTATTACCATGCTTTGGTTAATTATAAGGTGACTTCATAATTAAATCTGTATCATTAATCAAGTCAAAATTAGAATTTTATTTCAGCGCTCTTAGGGAGAATGAAATCAATGAATGGGGTGAAAGACAAATGAATACAAATCAAGGGAAGAAAGATTATACAAATTTCCTTTGATATGGTTAATTTAATCATAACGTAATGATTTATTAGTAAATGTGTACAGTGCTTTAAAAGAAAACCATTGTTTCTGATAAAAGAATAAGTGATTTTCCCCAACAATATGTTTAAATTTCTTTTCTATTTTAAGGAATAGATTATGGTTGAAAGGGAAAAATGGTATAAAGATAAAATTCATTAGATCCAATGAAGGTAAAGAATAGAAAATACATTAATTTCCTAAACTGGTAAGCCACCTAGACATTAAATATAGGTGACATTGTATCCACATAAAATCACAAATACTGACATTTTACATTAAAGTTCATTCATTCACCTTTAAAGATAAATATAAGGGACTATTGTTAAGGCAAAGTCCTCACACTGAAGAGTAAAAGCATCATAAAAATAGGCACATTTTAGGAAATATTCCATTCCCCACAGGTCTTGCAGAATGGTATAATAAATTCCCCTTAATTAAGTATAGTTTTTTACTTGTTACAATTCTATTACATAAATTACCTAGAGATCTGTAGTATTCCAGTATAGAGGAGTCTTGTTTCCTGCCAGGCAGCTCAAGGTTATGAAAGTCCTGTAGTAAAAGTCTTTTGCTTCCTGATGAGGTTGAGATATAATTAATAATGTATTGGCTGACTGTTTTGGACACCATACTTAGCATGCTGATATCTTTCACTACCAAGAGAAAATTATATACATAAAAATGAATGGCTTAAATACAAGATGTCACTATTAGTACAATGTATTAACTTATAAGTTAGCTCATTAATAATAATACTAAATAATAATAAAAATAAATAATAAAAGTGGGGGAAAGGGGGAGAATCTTAGAATTGTTTTAAATCCAATGCTCAATGAATTAAAAATATTTTGGGAAAAAAACATTTTGAGATGTAACGGTCAAGTTACCATGTCATACTAGAAGCATGCCTTAAGAGTTTGAGTATTGTACTTTCTCATTGTACCCCTTATCTAACAATGATGAAACTTTAGAAAATTAACTTATGTGAACACCATTAATTCTAGCCTAAGATGACAAACTAGTTTTGGGGGAAAATAAAAATATTTGAGTGTATATGTAGCCTACTTATAATCCCCAAACCTCACCTGACAAATATTTTAAGATTATTTGGAATATTTCCAATGGCAAGGCTTTAAAATTTCCAAGTGTTGATAAGGGCTGAGAATCTGAGTCAAGGTTGTTGGAAAAACAGCTGGATCGACGATTGCTACGTCTATATTTCTGGTTGGGAATCAAAGTGAAACTGGTATTTATTCTAGATGCCATCCTTTTTCTTATCTTGTGAATTTATCCTGTTTAAAAAAACAAAGTACAAAAGACAAAAAAGGAAGGAAGTTACAGCAATGAAGAGTTTTTTTTTAAATGAAGAGGTTGGTACTTTGATAGGCAATTGCTGTCTCTTTATATTTACAAAACTTTTAATATGATGTCTGATTTATGGAGTTCCCACTAGTAGAGTCTATTATTCATCTCAGCATGACATGAAATATTTAAAAATCTTTTCTTTCTTAGCCAAATACTCTAGATAGATTCAGAGTTTTAGTAGAAAATGAGACATATGTTTGGATGAGATATATTCTAAGAAAAGAAATACGCAAAATCTTTACAAAGTAAAAGACTGAATACAAAAGAAAATGATATAACAAATTCAATACATTCAGTATCTGACATGTTCTTTTGTTAGAAACAATAAAATCAAAAAGATAAAAAATTGAGACTAAGTTTAGAGCTTTTAAAATTTACTAGCTCTAACAGATTAAGAAGGTATTACTATTATCAATTTTTGCTGTATAATGCACACAGAAGCAGTGAAATTAAAGTCTTGGAAAATTAATGACTCGAATAAATAAATGAATAATAATTTCCCCCTCAATTCCACTCTTGGTTAATAATACTGATAGGTCTCAGGAAGATCCTACACAACTTGGTTTCAAAATGAACAATTCCTAGAGGGAAATTATTAAAATCACTAATTTACTTACTCTAAACAATAATTCTTTAATTATTTATCATACACATTGTCATCGTTTTGTGTCACTATTGTATATATGCATGTACACATACATATGCATAACTACAACTCCAGCTCCTTCTTTCTGAAGTAACAACTAAGACATTTCATCAAAGAGTTACAAATATATCTAACCAAAACGCATTTTTTCCTTTTGTCAGAAAATTGCTAAAATCACAGGGTTACTTATTCACCTTAAAAGGTTCCATATCAACTTATATCAATTTACAATCAGTCACATATTTGAAAACATGGCCAAGAAATATTATGCTTAGTGAAAAGCATACTGGGAATCTCCTTTAAGATCATACCATAGACCTTTGCTTCAGCATTCAGTGAGCATTTAAATTAGTAGATATTTTTAAATAATCATTAAAATTATTCAAGTAACATATGTGCATTGTCAAAGCATTTACAAAATACAGCAAAACAAACCAAAAAAGATTAAATTTGCTTGCTATAAATGCTTTGGTTTATATCATTCTAGAATTTCACACATATATATTTCTTATAACAAAAAAAGGGATCACTGTTCATACTGTTTTGTAATCTGCTTTTTCAATTGTAATTGTAATTTAAATTGCAATTTCTTTCCATGCCGATATACTTCTACAAGTTACTTATTTTGAAGGCTGCATATAATTCCACCACATGGAAGAATCTTTATTTAATCCATGAGTTTGGTTTTTTGTTCCCTCACAGCAGGCATTTTAAAGCATTTTCATTATAATAAAATATAAATCTGGCCTAGGATTTGTTTTGCTTCTCTAAAGAAATTGTAAAGAGGGACTTGGGTGGGGCTAGTGGGCTCTTCAGACTGACACCTGGGACTAGGGGACTTTAGTGTTGTCATCCACTGAGTATACATATATTTAAACCTCTGAGATAATTAAAATACAATGGCTCCAATTCTTTTAAAACTGAAGTCTCTTTTCACAATTTCTTATTTTCTTCATTCAGACCTGAATATTTTGGGGGAGATAGTAGGTTTTTCCGAAAAATTTCAAGGTGTAATTCCAAATTATTGTTGGTTTCCTCTCACTGCTCTAGAGGAGAACCCCAGACCAAAATAATAATAATAAAATGTTTCGACGCCACCGTTCCATCCCACTCATTTTTTGACTAATCGTGAAAGGTTTCCCTCGCCCTCTAGGATGAACTCCGGCCCCCTCTCGCGCATCTTTCAGAGAAAACCCGCCCACAACAATTCACCGGAATTTCGATTTTGTTTCAATCTACGAAAACCCTTTGAAGAAACCCACCCCATCTGCTCGTGTATTAGCCCAAAACATCTCCAAGAGGTAAACTAGTAAGGCTATAAAAGAGAAACTGGCCAATATAAGAATCAAACCACACTGGGATACATCTTTTACCCTTTTTAGTCCACCAAAAGTTGAAACTACCTCAAGAAAATTTTGGGGAAACAAATCTCTTTTTACCACAGATTTTGACAGTTCTCCAGCTAAAGAATCACAGGAAGATGAAATTTAGTCGTTTTGCCCCACCGACCTCAAATTTCTTAAAATTAAAAAAAAAAAATCTCCTCAAGCCGGGAAGAGACAGAGAATCCCGCTCTGATCCGCTCTGAAGCCGTGCTCCCGCCTCCCAGGCGCCTCAGTGGCCTCGCGAAGATTTTAGAATCCTCCCAGGAGCCCCAGCGAGAAAGAGGCCCCGCCCCCTTACGAATAATAAGAACCTCAGGCTCCCATAATGCCTTCCTCCCTCATGAATAATTAACGATGATGAGGTTCTTGGCGCCCTAACCAGGCCAAAGCCACCTTTTGCTTCATGCTGTGGACCGGAAGGGGTGGAGCCATTAGAGTCTCGGGGAGGGGAGGGTGCAAAGGAAGATCATCAACCTGGGGAGCCATACTTCTGCCTCAAACCACCAATTTTAAGCCAATCCCCACCCCAATAGGGTAAGTTACAAGAGCTTTCATTAACATTTCTGTTGGAAAAATTCTCCGAATATTCCTTTTTGAAACCTATCTAGAATGGAAGGAGGATGGATGCCTCCTGCCTCTTAAAATGGAGTCCAAGACAAATCTTTCTAGCTTGGTCCTCCTCCCTTGATGATTAAGTTCTCATTCATTTATTCATTCATTCAGAAGCTATTTATTGAAGCTTGTACTGAGCCACTCACTGGAGTAGGCCCTAAGGATACAACAGAGAACAAGATATAAGGTTCTTGCCTTAATGGAGCTTATTAGTCTAATGGGAAAGATAGAATAAACACAAAATAAAATAAACTATGGATGGAGAGGAAAGTTATGTAGGAAATAAAGCAACAAAATAAGAAGGTAAGGGGGTGCATGTGGGTTTACTTTAGTTAGATTGGTCAGGAAGGTCCTTTGAGATGGCTACATTTAATCTGAGAACTAATAGATGAGAAGGAGTCAGGATGAGGACTGATGGGTGGGTAGGAAACAGTGGGAAAGATTTTGGTACAGTCTAGGAATTTGCAAGTCTTGCTGGCTGAGTTTAGGAGCAAGTAGGAGAGTGGCATCATGGAAACCATAGAGAGAGACGCACGGACGGAGAGATGCAGGACCTTATATAAAGGCCCTAAATGAGGGCCATTTTAGAACCCCTGTAGGCCTTTTATACTCCTGCTTCTGGGGACCCGCACCACATTATATTTAACAAAAACCTGTACCCACATTCCTCGTTAAAATAAAAAATATAAATAACTACATAAAGGTTGAGTTGAAATTTAGGATTAGTTGACAACATATTGTTATGTTATGTAGTCACAAACATTTATTAAGTTTGACCCTGTAGTTTTTTGGAGCCAGTCCCCGCCCCCATAATCTCCCCATGGCCCCCCCCCAACATTTTTCATAGATTCCTTGACAAGGTCTCAGCCCTTATACAGTGGGCCAGGAATGAAATGTCTAATGGATACAAAGATCCTGAGTGGTGGGAAGTTTAGGTTTTTTTCAAAATGCCATAGAAAGATATTGAGGAGTTTTAACAGAGTGATATGATTTATATCATTTAAAGATTGCTCTGGCTTTTATGTAGATAATGAATGAAGCAGGTAAGAGTGAAAGAGGTGATAGCTATTAGGATGTTGTTGCAGGACTAGGATGCTGGCCCTGAAGACATAGGTTTGAAATACATTTTAGACATAGAAGTAATCAAATTTGCTGATGGATTGGATGGGGCAGGGCAGAGGGAAAGGAAGGAGATAGAGATGATTCCCAGGTTTCTGACTTCGATAAGTGGGTGGATATTAATCTCATTTTCTGAGACATGTAAGTGGGGAGTAGTTTTTCTTGTGGAAAACTAAGTTTAATTTTGCAGATAGTAAGTTTGTTATGTCTAGGAGACATTCAGATGAAGATGTCAAGGAAACAGTTGCATTTACAAATCCGGAGGTTGGAGGAAAACCTCTGGGCTGAAGACAAAAATTTAAGAGTTTTCTGCATTAGGGGAATATCAACATTCAGAGGCTGGGAAAAGGAGGACAAGTTCTCAAGGAGATTGAAAAGGAGTATCCAGTGGAGTAAACTGGAGAAAATCAAGAGAGTATGGAGTGATAAAACCCCGAGATAATATTGTGTTGGCTGGAAAATTACTGCTTGGCTATTGCCCATGGGAACATAGGCTATCACCCATGGGAACATAACATTCTAAAAATAAGCTTTCTGCTTCTGTACCCCCGCTTGCACACCCGACCTGTGGGTTGACAGGTAGTGAATAGGAGAAAAATAGACCTTTGTGTTTAAGACAGAATGAGGAATGGGATTTGGGGCTTAAAAACCCTGTACCTCTACATTTGGGGCTTAAAAACCCTGTACCTCTACATTCAGGGCTAATTTGGGGTCTGCGTACCCCTGGCAGACCCAGCTGGCTGAATAAAGAGTGTGTTTCCTATAACTCACTGATTTCTGGTGGTCTGTGTGTCTTTCGGGGGCTGGCGGCTACAACATTATAGATTGGGATATGAAGGGATTGGCTGTTGGCCCCCATCCTCTAAATCCAACTGATCCCCAACTGGCAATAAATTTAATCAATCTCGTATTTTATATTTTATGATTGAATTATTTGGGCTTCGCTTTTAGCATTATGATGGGAATTCTGGAAAGTGGTTTTAATTGTTTTAAAAATTAAGGCTAATGAGTTACAGACTGGAAGCAAATACCTGTAAAAAACATATCTGATAAAAGACATCTAAAATATACAAAGAACTTTTAAAATTCAATTATGAGAAAATAAACAGCCCAATTAAACAATGTGCAGAAGACCTGAACAGATACCTCACCAAAGAAGTTATACAGGTGGCAAGTAAACATATGAAAAGATATCCCACACCATAAGTTATCAGGAAACTGCAAATTTAAATAACAATGAGATCCCATTATATACCTATTAGAATGGCCAAATCCAGAACACTGACAGTACCAAATGCTGGTGAGGATGTGGAGCAGTGAAAACAGTCATTTACTGCTGATGGGAATGCAAAATGGTACAGCCATTTTGGAAGACGCTTTGGCAATTTCTTACAAAACTGAGCATATTCTTACCATATGATCTAGCAATTGTGCTCCTTGGTATTTACCCAAAGGAGTTGAAAACTTATGTTCACACAAAAACCTGCACACGGTTGTTTATAGCAGCTTTATTCGTAATTGCCAAAACTTGAAAGCAACCAAGGTGTCCTTTGGTAGATGAATAGATAAACTGTGGTATATTCAGACAATGGAATATTTTTCAGTGCTAACAAGAAATGAGCTATCAAGTCATGAAAAGACATGGAGGAATCTTAAATGGATATTACTAAGTGAAAGAAGCAAATCTGAAAAGGCTACATACTGTATTATTCCAACTACATGACACGTGGAAAAGATAAAACCATGGAGAGAATAAAAAGATCAGTGGTTGCCAAGGGCTAGGGAGGAGGGAGGAATGAATAGGCAGAGCACAGTGGATTTTGAGGGCAGTGAAACTATTCTGTGTGATAATATCATGATGGATACATCTTATTATACATTTGTCAAAGCTCATAAAATATACAACACCAAAAATGAACCCTCACGTAAACTATGGACTTTGGGTGACAATGATCTGTCTACATAGGTTCATCAATTTTAACAAATGTACCATTGTGGTGGGGGGTGTTGATGATAGGGGAGGTTGTGCATGTGTGGGGCAGGAAAAAAAAAAGGAGAAAAAAAATCTCTGTACCTTCTACTCACTTTGCTGTGAACCTAAAACTGCTTTAAAAAAATAAGTCTATATGTAAAAAAAAAATCAAGGCCAGCCCTTAGCCTTTAATTTAGAAATTTTTTTCCAGTTAAAAAAGTCTATACTTTCTAGGCATAAAGCAGTCAGATTTTTTAAAAAAACATATGTGTATATATTTCAGGTTGTGTGCACATGTGTGAAAGTAGATGAGCACCGTATACTTGTCTTTTTGAAGCACAAAAATGAAATGTTTGAGAACCTTTAAGAGATACTTTAAGAAAAAATTTTTTGTTGTTTTATTAAATACTTCCTATCAGATCTCATGAATGCACTACTAAAGGCAATTAAAGCAAATTCCGTGTGAGTAGATTTGGCAGGACAGTCATTGCCAAAGAACTGGCAAGTATGAATAATATTCCCTGGTGGGAAAAACTGCTAAAAAATTAATTTCTAGATGGTCAGAGTTCAGCCTTGACTCATTTGGAATGCTTTATAAATTGAAAACACTAAAACTGGGAAAGCTCAGAAAACTATAATTCTCATTAATTGACTGAAATTACTAAGTAAACAAACTCACAGGATCAAGGTTACTGGATAAAGCTCATTTCAAGCAGAAATGGGTGCTGTTATTTTTCCAGCAGGTGGCAGCAGAGAACTGTGTAAGATTTAATATGTTTTCTCCAATCAGGTGTGGAAACCATAGGTAGAAAACTGGCAAGCCCTTCAGCTGTCACAGAACACCCTCAGTTTACAAATGAAGAAATTGTAAATCCAAAGAGATTACCTGAACTTCCAAAGGCAGAACTCTTCACTGAAATAAATTTCTTGAAACATGTCTGACTATGCAAATTTCACTTCCAACACCCTCAGTTTACAAATGAAGAAACTGTAAATCCAAAGAGATTACCTGAACTTCCAAAGGCAGAACTCTTCACTGAAATAAATTTCTTGAAATATGTCTGACTATGCAAATTTCACTTCCAATTACCTTACGCTCAAGGCATAGAAATTTAATGTTATGAAAAAATGTAATATTTCATACAAAATAATAAGTTATGATAGAAAAGCCTTTGGAGTATTCCTAGAACTCTGTCCCTTTTTGATTAAAACCTTAAAAAAAAAAGCAAAAAGGCCATCTGAAAGTTTTCTGATGGGAAGTACACTGCCAGGATAAAGGTACAAATTTGGGAAGCCAACCTGAATTGGATTCTTCATCTTATGTCTGCTGTCTCATCTTGAAAAAATTACTCAAACTTTGTATTCACTGTCAAAAGGTGTAATCATATGTTCCCCATAGGATTGTTGCAAGGTTTGAATGAAATCACAAATTGTAATGCTCTTGGCTCAAACATAGTAGGC